CGGGATAATTTAGAGCAGTCAATCAACCTACGATGCGTGTTTCTGGAATGTGGGACGAAACCTGAGTTCCTGGAGGAAACCGTTGCAGGAACAGGAAGGCCTCGGCCAGATTGGAACTCACGACCTCTACAATGTGAGGCGGACGTGCTAACCATTCTCTACCGTGCCCCCGGACAGTCTTTATATGTTGATTAAATGATTTTAACCACAGAAGTTAAATCAAAGGTGATATGGATTGGACCCAATGTTGGTAATTTCGTAACTGAGCACAAGCAGATCTACAAGAGGGAGGGCTCCGCTGCAATGGCAGTTGAATTGGGGAATTGTCACACTACAATCTCAATATGGCGGAAGCACATCTACGTTGTGAAATGGGCACTTGGAGACCACCAGTCCGCCATCCCCACCCAGCTCATTGCATTCATGTGCCCTTGCCATAGCTGTGACGGACAGTGGAATGATTTAAAAATATATCATAATTAGAGGTGGAGGTGTCAAATCCACATCCAGAAAGTTAAAAACCCTAGTAGAGTTTCGCTTGAGCCAAAGGTGATTCAACTTAACCAGCAGGTATGGGAGCACATTTATCTGCTGGTTGAGAAGCCCCACCTGTGGCTAAAGCCAATCTGGGGCAGCGGTTTTACTTTCTGGACCTAGACATCTTTTGACACCTCTGATAATAATGATGATATTAATAATCATCATCAGAATAATGTGTTCAATTAATTGATTCTACAATCTACAATGATTCGGAGGGTTTGATGCCCGCTGTTCACATGCCCAATGAAATTCACCAAAATCATGTTAAACCAGTATTTGCACGTGGTCTGAGTGGGCTTCATTTTATACCAACTTTCTGCCACCAAATTGATGCCACCTCATTGCGCCAATATGCCCAACTAGGCAGAGACTGGTCTGCCAATTTGGCAAAGTGGCAGGAAGCCTTGTGCTGATATTTGGGGAAAAAAAAAAAAGGATACGCCAGCATCTTTACCAAGACACGGGTGCACTGCCTACAAAAATAGGGTCCTATATCAAGGCTTTTTGTTTAAGGAGCATTGTTGCGAATCAATGACTTCATTTGAGGAGCAATTTACTCATTTTGTGGAGCAAGGTTGTGCAGTTTAATCCCAAAGACAATCAAAAAAATCCGGGGGCCGGGGGGTTGAATGCAGGGCCTCAGCTGTCTAATATTTCAGCATTCAAGTATTGCACAGAATAATTGTGGATGCAGGAATAGCTGTTACGATTTCATGACTGTCCATGTTTTATGTTACGTGTATTGTTACATTATTTTTGTCATTTCATGTTAACTGTTCTGTAAAGCGCTATGTTCCAGCTACAACTGTTGTGAACGCGTCTACGTCAGAAAAGGCACGCTGCTATGCGCTTTTGGGGCTGCACAAATTCTCCCATTGACTTAGGAGTATCAGTTACGCATCTTCATGAAATGTAATAACTCTGGTTGGAGTGGCATTTAAATGAAGACACCCCCTGTCAAATCTGGCGGCTTTGAAGCGCCTTTCCTTTTGCGGGCTCAGGAGTCTGTACAGTACTACGTTCTAGCGCCACTTGATGGCGAAACAACATATTGCATGTTTTGATTCAATGAACCGCTTCAGTGGTCCGCTGTGTGACAGCTGCGTGACCGAGCGGCTTCTGACTCATGCTGTGGTGGCTTGGAGTTTGTCTGGAGGCCCAGCTCACAACAACTGCACAGCCACCTGATGTGAAATCCGGTTATCTTGTACTGCTTTTTGTATTAGCACTCTACTGCAAGTCATGTTTGCAGTGGGTGAAAATGTCTCAACATCATCTGCACCCATCTTTTGGCTATTTCCCTTCACCACATAACATGCTTTGTATTTGTCACATCCTCCTTCTATGTCTTAGCGACTGCATCTCATCATCCATCGCATCGGATCATTGCCTTGCGTTGGACGAGGTTATGGCATCACTGCACGTTAAGGGCATGTTAGACATGAAACTATAAAAAATCATTACAGACTTATTCAGGGATATATGCTGGTTTCTTTCTCTTAGGGGAAGGATACCGTGAACACCAAATAGCAAAGCTATTTTTGACATAACCAATAAGTAGTCCCTCCTCACACTTGGGAGTCTAGTTTCTTTTTGCCCCGTTTATAAGGAAAACACTTTGAAACAAACTTCTGCATCTGAGAGAGATAAGGCAATTTCCCTGTTAGTATTTGGGAGTTAGTCTGTTTGGTTCATTGTTCTCACAACAGGTGCTGCCTGGACTGCAGAGGTCCATAACGTCTTTGGTAAACCAGGCTCAATTAGCATGCTTCTCACCATGTCAAATAGCACGTCGGTTGCTTTCAGCATTTTGATTTGGCTAATATGGTGCTGATGTCTCATGTTTGATGTTATTTTTAGTTCACAAACAGTGGTAGTTTTTACGCAGAAACTTTGCTCCGTTTTCAGATCTGTTACCAGAATAATCATCGATAAATGACATTGTAAAGTGATGTCCGCCAGTTGACAAGGGCTCAATTGGTCCCACTACGTCTGCATGGGCCATGTCCGGTGCAGTTTTGTCCCTCGCATCAGGTTCCCTACTTTGTGAAGAAATGTCCACTGAGTGTCCAGGTCACACCGTAATGTCCCTTCATCCCTTTTACCCTTGATCAGCATGCCATCTTCAACTCTTGCAATCTTTGAATAGCATCATAATTGCAGTGACCCATGATCACATGGTACGTTTTTGCATACAGCGTCACATTGTGCCGTGTCTGTTGTTGCCCATAAGGCACACCTCCTCGTCCCCCTTTGTTCTACTACTCTGTTGCATCTTGTGCCGTCAGCCGATCCCACGCAGGGTGTCTCGTCCTGGAAACTGTCGTCAAACGCTTTGAACTTCCTCACATCAGTTATGATGTCGACCATCAGACCTGTTTCTTTGATGATGCGCCCCATATTGTTGTCAACCTTGTGTAATCCTTGTCATCTGAACCTTTGCTTGCGTTTTCCGACTAAGTTGTATGCCGCTTTTGCACAAACTGCATCACTGCTTATGTTGACACTCTCTCACATTGTGTCCTTGTCATCCACATCTAAAGGACACCACGTCCGCACTTTCTGTTTGCTTACTTGGACTTGCGCCTTCATGACATTGTCCTCAGAGGCTATCTTTTCTGTGTCTTTCTGGCACCATAGTTTTGTCTTGAAGTCAGTAACGCTAATTGCCACATCACTCAGTTAGACAGTGAATGGTTGGAAAGATTCAGGCAATCCCTTTAACACCTTTGACACAAGCAATCCGTCGCTCAATGTCTCAGCGGCTTTTCGGAGTGCCATGATTGCCGTCTAAAATAATGGGTGACAATTCTCATTGTTAGACTCCTGGAGCTATGTCAGCGCCGTGTAGAGGATGACAATGAGTGGCTTGCCTGTGCCCTCATAGTAGTTCCTCAATATTTGCAGTGTCTTTCATCTCACATCAGCCACCTCTCGCATCACCAACAAACCATTGTCATCCAAAATTGTACCACCTCCGCATATGGTTCCACATTTTTTGCTTCGATGCCGGCTGTTTCATCATGCTCGTCATCTACTTCATTTTCAGCAAGGTTGTACAAAATAATGTCTTTGAGCCCTTGTCATCTGACCCCAAAACTTGGTCTTCCACAGTTCACATTTTTTTCTCATCCCCGTCAAAAAGGACTCTACTCCAGCGGCTCCTCGTCTCAGTCGGCCGCTAACTCATTGCACTCGCCATTGGCTTCCTCGCAGTTATACTCGCCAGAATCACAGTGCGTTGCGGCTTCTTTCTGATGGGGAGCCAAACCCTCAAATTTGTTTCATGTGCTTTTGCAGCACCGCCGTGAGGCGTGTCCCTTATTTCCAGATCTGAAAGGTGGCAACCCTATCTCTGACAGTGTTTAAGACATAAGAACTTTGATGTAACAAACATACAGTGTGTGCGATACAAGGGCAACACATAATTTGAGAGCACATAGCTTAACACCGTGCTATTGGAAAATACGGAATAGCCAACTAGTGGAGGATTTATTTCAAATAAAGCCTCAGAGTTTTTTCCATCCCTTGTTACCGCTTTAAATGTGGTCAAATGCACAAGCATTCTTTTGGAACCATGATGTGATCTTTTGTCACCATCAAGTGGACAGTCACAAGGGATTCTGAAATTTACAACAGCCGAATAATAAGAAGAAACTGACATTATTGCTCAACTTATTTTTTAAATACTATTTACATAATGTTGCCATACATGATGGAGTTCAGCGTCAACTGCCTCCAATGCTCCAATTGTCCTGGTCGGTCGATGCCGACTTTCAGCAACAGCCTCGCTTGGCTCATTGCCACCTCGTCTCCCCTTCAGGCGGGAGAGTGAGGGCCTGTATGCCTGCTTGTTTCTCACTCTCAAGCCCGTCATCCTTTCCTGCCGTGTCCTCTTTCTGAAAACAAGTGCCGTTCTTTCTGTGCAGCTCTCAACTTGCTTTTCTTCAGCTCTCTGAACACTGTCACCTGGTTGCCTCATTGTTATTCATCTTAATGGTGGAGAAATAGGAAATGCCTTTTTTTCCCTTCATTTTGAACGATAGCTAAAAAGCCAGAGAGAGACAGATAATATTTCAGCAACACAATCTACAAAAAAACGGGTATTTTTTTATAGGCTATTGTTGCCGGCTTGCTTGGTTGTGTTGTGCTCAGGTGAATTGACTTCAAATAGAGTGGCCACCATGGATCACAGTGAGGATTGATCTCCAAATGATGATAATATGGCACATTGGCGACATTACCAAAAACTGGACATCCCTCTAAAAAGGATGAAAAGATGAGAAAATTGTTGACTGACTGACAGCAACATTGAAGGAGCTGCGGGGATTGTCTGGCAAAGTACTGGGTGTTTAGTACATGTGACAATTATCTCCCATCTTGATATGCCTGGGCTATTTGATAGGGTGGCAAGGAACCCTCATCTAACAAAAAGGGTGGACACTTGAAAGCTCCCAAAATGCTTGTCGGGAATAATACTTTATTGATCCAGGAGGTAATTTTGGTGTCCACTAGAAGCAATCATAAACATACAGAGTAGTATTAAAGCAAGCAAACATACAGTTATGACGCACATTAATTGGCCATAGGCAAGTGTTAAAAAAATAATTTGTAATTTTTAGAATGCAATATCAAGCAAGTACAATTTAAATGTAGTTGTAAAAGTAACAACAAAAAGATCTGCATCATGTATTTGCTTAATGTGCAATAAGGTTATTGGACCGCAAGGTGCAATGACAATTATTGTTCTGACTTGAGTAAAATTGTAATTGATTTGAGGCTTTGTAATGACCTGATGTGACACATTAAATTTGATTGTATTGTATTGATAGTGATTTCTCAGTTTACTGCAACCCTTAAAACTTCCTGAACTTGTCAGAAGGTTTCCTTGCAGTTCATTTAAAGTCCTGCAGCATCATTGATTTCTGTTTTATTTGCCAAAGTGCACTTGTGTTTCTTAATCTCATACTTATCATAAAATCTTTTATCGCACACACTGCAACTGAATGGTTTCTCACCCGTATGTCTTTTAGAGTGTCTTGTCATGGTGCCTCTTTGAGAGAATCTTTGACCACACACCGAGCAGGAAAACTCTTTTTCCCCAGTGTGTGTTCTCATGTGTTTAAGCAACCCCGAGCGGTCAGTGAAACTTAAGTCGCAGACTGAACATGCAAAAGGTTTCTCTCCGGTGTGTGTTCTTGTGTGCGTTGTTAAATTCCCCTTTAAAGAGAATGTTTTGCCACAAATTGAGCAGGCAAAAGGTTTCTCACCAGTATGTGTTCTTTTGTGTTGAAGCAACCCTGAATGATCAATGAAACTTAAATTGCAGATCGAGCAAACAAAAGGCTTCTCTCCGGTATGGGTTCTTGTGTGTGTTATTAAGCTTCCCTTTATAGTGAATCTTTTCCCACACAGTGAACAGGCAAAAGGTTTCTCCCCCGTGTGTTTTCTTGAGTGGCGAACTAATCCTGATCGAATACTGAAACTTATGTTGCATACTGAGCAAGCATAAGGTTTCTCTCCTGTGTGTATTCTCATGTGTTTGACCAAGGATGAACGAAGACTGAAAGTCACGTTGCAGACTGAGCAGAGGTAAGGTTTCTCGCCGGTATGAATCCTTGTGTGTGTTGTCAGTTGGCCCTTCTGAGTGAATCTTTTACCACAGACTGAGCAGGTGTATCGTTTCTCCCCAGTGTGTGTTCTCATGTGATTAACCAAGGAAGAACGGACACTGAAGCTTAAGTTGCAGACTGAGCACGAATAGGGTTTCTCTCCAGTGTGTGTTCTCATGTGTACTTTCAAAGTATACTTGGCATCAAAACTTTTCCCACACTGAGAGCATTCCCAACGTTTGCCGTCAGTGTGACATGTAACATCCCCTTTTGCGCGTTCATCATCAGAGTCAGGTGAATGTGACGTTGTGTTGTCACTATCTGATTGGGGAGCTAAGATGTCTGCTTGTGATCCTTTACGGTGGTCTCCATCACCTTCATCTTCATCATCACCTTCAACCTTCACAATGACACAATTGAAGGGCAACATGGTGACATCTTCCTCCTCCTCTTCTCCTTTAATGTCGGGGGGCATCTCATTCTCATTTTCGTAAATGCATGGGGGCTCTGGGTTCTCCTCTTCCTCTTTAATGCAGCGGGGCACTCGCTCCTCTTCCTCGTGAAAGTAAGAGGGGTCTTGCACCTGCTGCTCAGCAGGAAGATCTTCACAGATGACTGCAAGACACATATTGTGAAGATGTCAAGAAGAGCAGGCACCATTATGAAATTCAAACAGGGTTTCTACGGGACCGTATTTAACTAATGAAGAGTTGGGGGACTTGAGTCACATGATTTGACTCAGTCCAATTTAAGTTTAGTTGCCAATTTTTGAATTTAGGACTTGCTTGGTTAAAACTTAGAACTCGACTTAAGGTTCCTACTTGCTTGACCCAATTAATGACTAGACTCAATTTATTACTTGAATCTGTTTTTTTTTTTTTTTTTTTTTTGTTACAAGTCTAGCGTTTACACTAACGTGCAGACAGCCATGGAAAACTTTACCGTGAGTGACCACCTTTGTTTCTTCAGTTTTGTGTTTATTGTAAATGGCGTGTATAAAAAAAAAGTTTTGTTTGTTTGTTTGTTTCTTTCTTTCTTTTTGTCACTCCAAGCTGTTGTTGCATGCAAAACTGGCATGCAAAATTTTTGAGAAAACAACGAACGTCACCTAGCGAAAGGCTATCATACAGTAAAGGCAGACATGCTAATCAAACATAGTACCGATGTTTCGGTGGATTATAAATCTTCAAACAGCATACTGGGAGCAGTTCAGGGTGTTGGATATTCTTCAATGATAACTATTAACGAAGACATGGGAAACAACAGTGTTTATGTGAAGCACTCTCCAGAATCAAGCGAACTGACGGCGATGTTTGTGGCTCACAACCATAGCAGCAGTTTCGCTCCCGGTTAAAACGAGACCAGTCTCTTCGTCGATCGCTTTTCTTTAGGGTGGGCGTCAAATTGCTGTTTTGTAATGATTTTGGGGAGTCTAGAGATTTTACGCCCTTTGCCTCCGACTATTACAGCCAACAATGACACACGTACAAGAAGTGACATATTGCAAATGACGCTCTGTTAGTGGGGGTTCCCTTTAAATATGTACGCCGGAAATGCATTGCGGGAGATGCAGAAACGCCGAACCCCTCTATAGTCCCTCCTCACTGCTCTGTTGTTCGCCTAATCTCTTCGAAATGGTCTCTGGTAGAAGGCGTAACATGTGAACAGGGCAGTGAGGACCGAGGTAACAATAAAGAAGTGAGATTTGGTCAATATACTGTAATCCTAAACATCAGAATGACCACATAAGTGGTCACACGTGTTCCCGCACGTTCAACTTTGTGAATGAATAATCATTTACAAAAAATAAAAAAGTGGAATGTTGTTAAAAAGACAAAGTATTAATTAAACATTTAAAAGAAGTGAACAAACCTGTTCCGTGGAACACAGCATGAGGCTTCTTGAAAACAACGTCCGATAGTTGACGTTGCTGCTCGTCCTCTTCTTTTGTTCGACAAAGTGCTTCGTCGTAGTCATCGTTCACTCTTTTTGCACACATTTTGACACAATAATAAAACACTTGGCACTGACTCTTGATCTCTGCGTAGCGATGCGCTGCGAACAAACGCGTCTCTTTGTTCGCAGCTAGCAAACAAGGCTTTTGTGAGAAGTACACTCAGACCACTTTATACGGATTTGACGATTCACTAAATTTTGTTTTACTTCGCTAAAGTAGTGATGGGGCATTCTGTGTCAACCTTTAAGCCTATTCTGTTTGAATGTGAGAAGTATTATTAAGTGAAGCTCGTGCGGAAACACCAAACGTATGCGGAAGTAGAACTGTAGCCGAAGTTGGACGGCAACGCTACTTGGACAAACAATGCGTCAACTCACGAAATAAACAATTTGACGTATCTTTGAGTGCGTGTTCCACACTTTAGTCTCCACGTAAACACTTTGAGATTAACAAAGAAGAATAACTTTAATTTTGCTTTTTAATTCGTATGTCAATTATGCCTAACTGATCTCAAATTACTGTGCCTTGTAATGTTACTGCTTTATCTCTTTTTTTTGTCTAGTTTTGTGTTTCTTCTTGTATTGTATTGCATTGTTTATAAATTTTGTGACACGCTAATGGTGTGTTTGTAAATGTTTAGGAATCAAAGTTGCAATAAAGATGCTTTTGGAATGTATTAGCGAATGGGCAATTCCAAAATCAATGAAAAACATCTTCCAAAATCAAAGAAAAACATCAGTTAGCCTTCACAAAAACAATTAATAGCTGTTCTGTTTAGACTTTATTATTAGCTATTCTGCAGGTAAAGTCCGCAAGCTAGAGAGACCTACAGTATGTCAGCATACACTCGTCAATGACGTCAGTAAGGAAGAGTGGAGTCGTATTCGTTTGAAACAGTGCTGTTCCTGTGTTGGAAATGAAGCTCATTTTCATCTCTCCTTAACCTGAATATATAATCCAACAAAGGTGAAGGAGGCATAGGGGTTAGGATATTTGACTTTCCAAAAAGGCCCCAGTCATGGGCAAATGTGGTCCAGGGGCCACATTCGGCCCTCCCACAATCTCTGTGGCACTTCCTGTCAGCACTTATTTTTGAAACCATGTTCACACCACGACTTAGCAGACAGATGCTAACGATCACCACACATTAACACGTACATTCAAGAACGTCACATAAAACACTCATAACAAAACATTGTGGTGAAAAGAGACAATAGCGTGCCTACTCCTAACTATGTGTTTGCATGGACATGAATTAGACTGAGCCGACATTTTGGCAAATGACGCATACTATCACGCAAACTCATGGTTGCACGCTACCCTCGGATGCCCTGAAAAAAACAGAATTTCTATTGTAAATTAGTTCATTGATAGGACACATTCCCATATTTTGTTACAACCATTTATTGTGGAAAACGGATAGAGTGTCAGTCTTTTTTTAATGTCTTCTTTTCACCAATGCATTTTAATGGGCACCCATTATACGTGGCTTTTCACTGTTCCTGAGCTGTCCCGGTGCCGATTCACTGAACCCGGTCTGAGATGAAAGCAAATTGGTTAGGATGCTCAGGAAGAAGCTGGGAAGCAGCAGGGCTCAAGCCTGCTACAGGGAGCATCTTTTTTGCTGCCAGTGCACTGTACAAAGACATTCACACCACAGACCCTGATCACCGTGTAGTGTTTTGTTTTTAAATTCAGGATCATGTATACACTCATCCATCATTGCCACAAGCAATCAAACTAGATGTGTTTGTTAATTAGTCAAAGTTTCTTCACAGTTTGCTTAAAATCTTGCAGCTTTATTGATTGCTGCTCTTTGCCCCAGCACACTTGTGTCTTTTAACATGATACTTGACATAGAATTTTTTGTCACATACACTGCAACTGAACGGTCTCTCACCAGTATGTATTCTTGTGTGTGAAATTAAATTCTGCTTTTGAGAAAATCTTTGGCCACACACTAAGCAGCAAAATGGTCTCTCACCAGTATGTGTTCTTGTGTGTTGAATCAATCCTGTACGATACCTAAAGCTTATGTTACAGACTGAGCAGGTGAAAGGTTTCTCTCCAGTGTGCGTTCTTGTATGTGATCTTAAATTTCCCTTGACAGAAAATCTCTTACCACAAACTGAGCAGACAAAAGGCTTCTCTCCAGTGTGTGTTCTTGTGTGTGTTCCTAAACTTGAACGATTCCCGAAACTTAAGTTGCAGACGGAACATGTAAAAGGTTTATCTCCTGTGTGTGTTCTTGTGTGCTTAATTAAACTTCCCCTTTGTGTGAATCTCTTACCACAAACTGAGCAGACAAAAGGTCTCTCCCCACTGTGTGTTCTTGTGTGTTCAACCAATCCTGATCTATGAGTGAAACTTAAGTTGCAGACTGAGCAGGAAAAAGGTTTCTCTCCTGTGTGTGTTCTCAAGTGCCGGTTCAGATTATGCCCGGCAGCAAAGGTTTTCCCACAATGAGAGCACTTCAACCGTTTGCTGTCAGTGTGATATGTCATATCACCTTTCGAGCGTTCATTGTCAGTGTCAGAAGTAAAAGAGGTTGTGTCGTCACTGTCTGATAGTGGCGCTATGAGGCTGTCTGTCTGTGATCCACCACACTGGTTTCCATCACCTTCTGTTGGCATGTGTTGACTTGAGCTGCTGCATGGAGGCTCTTGCACAGCTCCTCCATTTTGCTCACTTGGGCCTTTGTCTTCATCCTCTTCAGTATTCACAGGGACGATAGCAAATGGCATATTGGTGACATTATCCTCCTCTTCCTCTTTAACATACCGGTGGTGGTGCGTTGGCTCCCCTTCATCTTTAATGTGGGAGAACTGTGGCTCCTGGTGCTTGAGGCGAAGATCTTCACTGATGTCTGTAGGACACAAGAAGACAAACAGATGGTTTGGTAAAGTCCAGCTTTTTCCATCAAGACACATTATGATGTGGATTATTATTTAGACGTGTTTTAGACAGGTTTAGGGACAATGACCTGAACATGAAGTATTATGAAACTCAAGAATTCTGAATCCTCGTCTTTCTCTGACTCTGGCACCAGTCCATTTTTGCAGATTTTCTGGAGCTTTTTGGGGTCGCATTTCACACATAAATTGTTTACAGGAGCTTTAGGTCAGGTTTAATAACCATAAATTAAAGAGAGAGATATAATATGCGGAATTAATCATCAGACTGAACATTGCCTAATATTCAGGCCAACAGTGTAGCTTAAGTCGACAAAACAGACAGAATCTAAGAATAACCACGCACTCGTGAGGATATAGCGGTTCAGATCATTTATGGATGGCTATTTAGTCTGTATTATTTTAGTGTCCCGTTTATTTATTTGAGCAGTGTTTACAACTAAAGTTCATCATTATTTCAAATAATAATTATATCATGCTTTTTAGTGTATTATTGTGTGTGCTTCTGAGAAGTGTGCTCCCGCGCATGTGTATTTTATTACACACATGCGTGTATTTTATTATCGCTCACTCAGGTCTTCATCCTCCCTCCACCTCTCTATACCCTCTGCGTGTCTCAGTACAATGGGGTGCAGAGCCTTCAGCCGCTCTGCCCCCAAACTCTGGAACTCACTTCCACCCAATATTCGTAACATTGATTCTCTTCCCACATTCAAAACCCAGCTCAAAACCCACCTATTCAGACTTGCTTATTCCACTTAAATTTATCTCTTTTTATTTATAATTTTATCTGTGGTTTTATTGTTTGCTCTTGCCTGTAAAGTGTCCTTGAGTGTTGTGAAAGGCGCTTACAAATAAAATGTATTATTATTATTCTTATTATTATTAAAATTGGCCCCCGTCTTCCCCAGTTCCAAAGTCCTATCTGTGCCCATGACCAGCAGGACCATTGTTAAAAAATAAACAACTTAACTGACAGAAAGAAGTGACAAGGACAAACATACCTGCTCTGTGTAATTCATCTTGGGGCTTCTTGAAAACAGAGTCCAATATTTGACGTTGTCGCTCGTTCTCCTGTTTTGTTCGTGAAAGTTCCTCCTCATACTCTGCTATTGTTCCTTGAAACACTGTAATTACTTCCTCAACAGCCGCATTTAGTCGCTGGTTCAGCAGGGCTCTCAGCATTTCTACTTTACACATTTTCACAGTGCTTTACCCTCGCGCTTGCGTTCAGCTTCGCGACGTGTTGATCACTTCTGCGTCGCTTTGTTAGCAACTAGCAAGCTAAGCTATCTCCAGAAGCTTCAGCGTGCCCCAAAAAGATGAGTTTATGATGTCGGCGGTGATTGTGTTTTTAGTCTAGTCAAATAGTGAAGTGACGTACTGTTCCGAGACTTCACTACGTTCAGTTGTAATCCAGAAAGATATATTCAGTGAAACAACAGGTCAAGCCATGTAACGTTTTTGAGATATGTGACGACACTTTCACAAATCACTTCGCCCACTGAGGCCAAATCTCATTTGTCAAAAGTGGACCCTCTCGGTCTTAGACACGTTTACCAGTGATCCCATTGAAGAGGGCAACGAAAGTGCGACGTACTGTATGCGATACAGATGGAGAAATGAGACGGCCGTCCTCGAGTCGTCATTTCATGGCGACGACAATTAATGATGACGTAACGTCATTGACAGTGTTATTCACATTACACCTTAAATTCGTTTCAGGTGAAATTAAATCAAACTCACATTTGATCAACACTTTTAATCTTCAAAACTCCGATCATGAATGGATACATATGTATGCACAGCTACAAATACAAACTTAATTTTAATCTGTACGACTGTATAGTATTTCATGTTTTCGGGGGTCTCAAATTCAACGTGTGTGTCTGCTGGAGATAGACTGGATGTGACTGGGCCAAGTATTCCAGTGTTTAAGCACCGCCAAAGATGAGCTATCGAGACACATCAATGGTTTACATTCTACAGTACAGTACTGTATATGAATTACCTAATGTGCATAATACTGTGAAACCAGCCTCCAAAATTCTAAGTCTTTCTTTACTACACTGTAACTATTTATTGTTAGCTACTTAGCTGACGTGTAAAAGTCGTGCAAAGGGCAGGGCCCAGGAGGCTGTGGCCTGGGCCTCCACCTGTGGGAGTGGGGTGAGGAAGAACATGCAAACTCCACCAACTGTATGCTGGTGTTGGGTTGTTATGCCAACACAAAGGGATTGTTTTGACGACCGGTACTCAATGTGTTAGTGAGGGTACACATAGCTTTAATGACTCACATTGTACTTAACATGGTCTTACTGTGTAGTACGTAGTACAGTACATAGCTCGAAAAATTCAAACATAGCCTTGATACAGCACACACAGACAACAATGGTATTAAAAAATAATAGCTTAGATTTGCGAAGAGCCTTTCAAGGGACCCAGGGATGGTAAAACAATAAATTGTCGTCTGTAAAGTAGAAGTGTGTCTCACCCAGCACAATTTTTTCTTTTTATTATTTTGCTTTGCTCCTGAAATGCAAACAACTGAGGACAAACCTTCCAAAATTTTATTTAACCTTTTTGCAACAGAGATGTAAACATTTTTTCCATTTTCATATGTAACCAATACGATTCATATTGAATAACATTCTTGATAACTGACAACTATATGAAATGTAATATAATTCTCGCAACAGTATATCATCGTATATTATATAGACTGTGCTAAACAAAATCAGAATGAAAACAGGCATTTTTTCAGTGTGGGCAGCAGTCAAAAAACAAATATTTGAATGTTCACAGATTCATATAACATCCATCAGGTGAACCAATAATGGGTATGGGTCGGTACTATTTGACTATTTCGCTTTTAATTCACGGACACAAAAACAATTTTACAACCAAGAAAATCTGAAAGTTCCAAGTTCACAATGTATTTTAAGTCCAGCAGCTTCATTTACCACTGATCTTTTCACCAGCACACTTATGTTTCGTAACCAAATACTTTTGAGAAAAGCTTTTATCACACACACTGCAACTGTATGGTTTCTCACCAGTATGTGTTCTCATGTGTTTAACCAAATTTGAACGTTCACTGAAACTTAAGGTGCAGACTGAGCAAGAAAAAGGTTTTTCTCCAGTGTGTGTTCTTGTGTGTATGTTTAAATGAGCCTTACGAGCGAATCGTTTCTCGCAAACTGAGCAGGCAAATGGTTTCTCACCGGTGTGTCTTCTTGCGTGTATGTTTAGATGTGCCTTACGGGCAAATTGTTTACCACAAACTGAACAGTCAAATGGTTTCTCTCCAGTGTGTGTTCTTGTGTGTGTTCTTAAATGTCCCTTTATAGAAAATCTTTTACCACAAAATAAACAGGCAAAAGGTTTCTCTCCAGTGTGTGTTCTCATGTGCTTGCCCAAATTTGAACGTTCACTGAAACTTAAAGAGCAAACTGAGCAGACAAAGGCTTTTTCCCCAGTGTGTGTTCTTGTGTGTGCTATTAAATGTGCCTTCTGAGTGAATATTTTACCACAGAGTGAGCAGGAAAAGGGTTTCTCTCCAGTGTGTATTCTCATGTGTACTTTCAAACCCCACTTTGAACCAAATGTTTTCCCACACTGCGAGCACTTCCATTGTGCATCATCACCTTCAGAATGCTCATCGTCACTGTCCGGCAGTGCCGCTAAAAGCCTGTCTGCTTGTGATCCTCCACAGTGGTCTCTATCGCTTTCTTTATCGTCATCATCTTCACTCTTCACAATGACTGTCAATGGAAAGTTGTTGATATCTTCCTCCTCCTCTTCCTCTTTAATGGTGAGGGGCAATGGCTCCTCTTCTTCCTTAATGTCGGGTAGCTCTAGCTCCTCTTCCTCTTTTGTGTGAGGAGGCTCAAGCTCCTCCCGCTCCATCCTGGAGCCCCACTTCTGCTGCTCAGCATCAAGACCTTCTTCACTGGCATCTGGAGGACAGGAAGACAAACAGAAATGGTTTGTGAAGCTTTGTCCCTTCAAGTCTCATGTCGTGACTTTGATGTTCTGATGTTGTGAGGTAGCATTCTTCGTGTTACAAGTAGCTCTGCTAACGGTCTGCTTTTTTTTTTGTCAATTTGTAATTACCCACCCTTTTATCATTTAATGTTAATTTTGCGTTGTGTAGAACTGTTTTAGAGTGTTTTCATCGCTTTTGCCATGACATTCTTTGGCGGCAAGTTTTGTTGTGCGTTGGCAGCCTGTTTATTACATCTACCAGTACATGTATTGTATATTACTTTCTCCCTTATTTTACACTTCTCACCCTTTTTGCATCCTGCTAGGCCTTTGCACGATTGCAGCACTTTGGCCGTGGCACTTTCTTGAACAGAGAATATTGGCCCCGTTGGAATTTTCACCACTTAGCTACAATGCTACACCTATGGGGAGCTTAGCTGCAGCATGGATCCGCTCAGAATGAATCCCAGCGAAGATAAGGAGAAAGATGAGACCCGGCATATGGCATAAAGTACAGCAATGTGAAGTATGAAACAAGACTAAATGGTACAGGACAGTTGAAGCATTCCTTCTATTGTGTGTTACTAACGGACAAACTTACAGCTGTTACAAAAATACAGTTGTTTGTTTGCATTCATACTCACCTTGTAACTAATATTAATGCCTTCATGCATGCTGTGATCGTGAGATTACAATTTCGGAATCTTGAGGGGAAAATGAAGCTTCATGAAGCACTTGTGATATTTTCTACTCCTCTAGATCAGTGTTTCTTAAATGGGTACATGTAAAGTCACTTTTGGGGGTACGTGAGATTTTTAAATATATTTAAAAAGTAGCCTCATTGCAAAAAAAAAAGCTGTATCACAGCAGTTGCGTCCCTACCACCAAGACAGACAATAATCCTCAGTGAAGCACAAGTATTTTGCGCCTTTTTTTTTTTTTGATACCATATTTTCACGACAATAAGGCACACTTAAAAGTCTTAAATTTTCTCCAAAATGGACGGGGCAGATACTAATTTGGGTCACTTTATTTATGCACTGAGTTCCAAAATCAATGAATGCTATTGTGTGACTTTGATGAAGGGTCTGCTTCAATGGCTGATGTGCCGACACACTCCTTATATACAGGAAAGGCAAACATAACTGAGGACGGCATGTAGACATCAGAATAAATCCAGCAGAAACTGTAGGTGAGGAGGATAGATCAAAGAGATGTCCTAAATAGTTGTAAAGCAAAGATCACAACACCACCTGGAAGGAGAGTAGCCAACTTCGAAGGGACACAGTGAGAACCAAACGGTCAAAGTGTTCATCACCATCATCATTACAAGTTTAGTTTGAGTGAATGCCTAACTCAGTCGACTATTGTGCACCATCCATTGACTGTGAAAGAACACATGTGCGCTAAGAGTTGCCATAATTTCACTGCCACAAAATTTGAATGAGCAGACATGAACAGGTGTCCTCTCAGGCTGGCACAAATTAATCTGGTGGTGATTATGGTAAACCCATATCAATTGGATCCTGAGAAGCAGTTCATGTGATCAAGGTTGAAATACTATGTTGTACCCATTCATGTGACATTAGTGAGGGCCGTGGCTTTCGTCAGAGACTCAGGAAGTGAAGGAAGTACTGCAACATTCAAATCTTACTCGCAGTTTTGAGACTGTGAACTTCCCCTTTAGTCTGTCAGCTAGTTGAGCTGAAACATCCGCACAACATCTTTCTTGAAACCAATTTACCTCTTCTTTGCCACTAGCACTTCACACATTTAAACTACGACCATACAGAAGAAGGCTAAAATCATCTTTCCACCATTACCCGTTTTCAAAAAATTTTGCTCTACTTTGGTCATGTGACTCAGGAACGCTTGTTAACTTGTGGTGCGATTATCGCTCAGGGTTTTGCCACGCCGAAGGTGGCCGGGTGTTCAACTTAAGAAATGGGGATTAAGGAGTAAACACAGTAATTTTGTTAATAATTGTACTTACTACATGGCCTGTACTAACTAAACACAAGAGAATCAAAAGTGAACAAACCTGCATAATGAAGCAGGACTTGCGGCTTCTTGAATTCAGCGTCCAGTAGTTGTGGTTGTCGCTCGTTCTCTTCTTCGGCTCGAGAAAGCTCCTCGTAATTTTCTTTCACATTTTTTGCACACATTTCACAGGATAATTACAACACTTTGCACGCACTTTTGATGTCTTCTGAGATGTGTTGATAAGTTGTTCGCAGCGAACAAGCTACGGTAAAATAAGCTAAGCTATGTCCCAAGATGCGTGAACGTGCACCAAAGAGGACTGTTTCTGGACACGAAGATTTTATTAAAGTTGTTTTACACCGGTTAAGTACTAATGGGACACACTGTGTGTAAACTTCAGTCCGTTCACAGCTAATTCAGGGAAGAAGCGCGTTTGTAGTAAGTGCGTGCGGTTGAGCAAAACGTAAACGGAAGTAGAAGCGGAAATCAAACGGAAACTCTACTTGGACAAACTTCGTGCCACTGTCACGCACATGGGAGTCTGTTTAAAGAAGCTATGACTTGTGTTGACGACAAACGTCGTGTGAGAACCATGACTGGAAGGAAAATGCTTCAAAATAAACCCGCCCTTTTATTAACCCTGAAGTAGGTTCCTCACTCTCTCTCTCTGAATGTTCATCTTTTTGTAAAAAAATAAAATAAAATAAAATAAAAAAAATAGAAGGTTCAATAAGTATTGAGCCTTACACAGTCGGGTCTATGCATGTAAAAGTTTAGAGAAGGTCATATTAACCTGTGAATATGATTGGTAAAGTGCATTTAATTACATTCACGCATCCAATTACAGTTACGCATCCACTAACGACATCAGTTTCCTCTGTAAATCGACCATCTAAAATGGGGAAGAAGAAAGTTTTGTTGGCTTAGGTCACATGTGTCAAAAGTTAAGGCCTGGGGGCCAGATCTGGCCTGCCACATCATTTTAGGTGGCCTGTGAAATCAAATCAACCATGTCAACTTCCATGATTCTTGCTAAAGTCTGAACCAAAATTTCAAATTGTCATATGGATCTGGCCTGCCACATCATTTTAGGTGGCCCGTGAAATCAAATCAACCATGTCAACTTCCATGATTCTTGCTAAAGTCTGAACCAAAATTTCAAATTGTCATATGTAAGCCAAAATAACAATGTTTAAACAAGGCATTATCCTTGACGTCGGATTTCAAAACTAGTTATCCATCAATTTGCTGTTTGCTGTGCATGTAACATATGGAGGTGGTTAAACATTCATATGGTTTCACAAAATTCAGTCATAACGACCCTCCAAGGGCAACCGTAACTACAATGTGGCTCGTGACAAAAATGAATTTGAAAAAAAAAGACTCAGAAATACTCTTATTTGCTCATTACTATGACCATCCTATTCCCTCTTGTTGCCTCAAATTTAGTTATATACCTACGTGTTTTCTCGAAAACACCCACTTTCGTGACACGTTATTTTTGTACCTTTTATTTCATGAAGGAGGGAGTGTCAGTCATCTCGCGTAGGACTAGCATTGTAGCAGTGTAGTCTAGCTATAATATTAACATTATGACCTCTTATCTACATCCACATTGATTTATGAATGTGAATTCTTCTTCATATCCAGATTATTAAATTAGCACATTAGAAACATTGTTATAATAGAGGTTAAGTTTGACCATTTAACAATGACTGATGGGAATGAAAAATGATCAATTCTGACTTGAGTAAATCCATTTACTTGTATTTTATTCGGAGCACAAATAAATTCTTCCATCTTACCAGAACCACTCAAATGTGGGTGACCTGAGCTTGGCAATCAAAGTTTCTTCACAGTTTCATTGCTGCTGCTCTTCTCACCAGCACACGTGTGTTTGTTCATTTGATATTTGTAAGTGAATTGTTTATCACACACACTGCAATGAAATGGTTTCTCACCAGTGTGACTTCTAATGTGTGTTGTCAAATTGCTACTTTGAGTGAATTTTTTGCCACAAAGTGAGCAAGAAAAGGGTTTCTCCCCAGTGTGTGTTTTCATGTGTTGAGCCAATGCTGAACGTACACTGAAACTTAAGTTGCAGTCTGAACAGGCAAAAGGTTTCTCTCCGGTGTGTGTTCTTGTGTGTGTTATTAAATTGCAACGCTTACTGAAACTTAAGGGGCAGAATGAACAGGCAAAGCGTTTCCCCCCAGTGTGTATATTTAAATCTGCCTTCTGACTGAATCTTTTACCACAGTCTGAGCACCTGTAAGGTTTCTCTCCGGTGTGTGTTCTTGTGTGTCTTTTCAACGATGACTTGTTGAAAAAGGTTTTGTCACACTGAGAACATTTCACGCGTTTGTTGTCAGTGTGACATGTCATATCACCTTTGGAGTGTTCATCATCAGTATCAGAAGAGTGTGACATCATGTCGTCACAATCTGATAGTGGCGCTAAGAAGACACCTGCTTTTGATCCTGCACAGTGGATTCCATCACCTTCTGTTGTCATCGGTTGACTTGAACTGCTGCTTGGCGGCTCCCTCCCTTTGTTCTCCTCACTCTGACCTTCATCTTCATCATCTTTAATCTCCACAGGTACAACAGTCAATGACAACTTGGCGATATCTTCTTCCTGTTCTTCTTCTTTAATGAGGTGAAGCTTAGGTTCCTCTTCATCTTTCATTTGTTGGGGCTCCGGCTGCTGTCGCCCCACCCTGAAAGTCCAGTCCTGCTGCTCAAGATGAAGATCTTCATCGACGATTGCAAGACACAACAAGACAAACACAAAGGGTATGGAAAAGTCAAGCTTTGCGCTATATTATTACATACATACATACATACATACATACATACATAACATACATACATGCATACATACATACATACATATACATTTGTTGAACCGCTTTATCCTCACAAAGGTCGCAGGACATGCTGGAGCCTATCCCAGCTGTCTTCGGGCAGTAGGCGAGGGATGCCCTGAACCGGTTGCCAGCCAATCGTAGGGCACACACAGACGAAGAACCATCCGTGCTCACACTTACACCTAGGGACAATTTAGAGTGTTCAATCAGCCTGCCATGCATGTTTTTGGAATGTGGGAGGAAACCGTAGTACCCAGAGAAAACCCACAAAGGCACGGGGAGAACATGCAAACTCCACACAGGAAGGCCGGAGCTGGGATCAAACCCAATACATTTGCACTGTGAGGTCGACGCACTAACCACTCGACCACTGGGCCGCCCGCTAGATATATACTTTTCAGTTTCATTATTTGGCCTTTCCCCCTTTTCAAAGGTCTTCAAATATGTTAGGTTTTTAATTATTTTTCAGGCTTGAAAAGATTTGTTTTTTGCCCCATGTCACGTGACTGAGACGATGATTTGAGAGAGGCACAAGCAGATGTGCCTGGTTTCCAACATAAAACTTCTATCAGACTCTGATAAACAATCAAATATTTTTGTTCTGTGTCTGCACGGCCCAGTGCCAACTATGGACTTGACACATGCTCTATCAGAACCCCATCGGATTAAACAATCACCTGCTTCGCCTTTATCTTCACTCTTTCCAGTGACAACAGTCAAGGGATGCTTGGTGATATCAGTCTCCTCCTCATCCTCCTCCTGTTTAATGGCGACAGTCTTTGGCACCTTTTCTACTGTCAAGTGAGGTGGCTGTGGCTTCTGCTGCTCCACCCTGAAGCTCCACTCCTGCTGCTCAGGACGAAGATATTTTTTACTGATGTCTGAAAGGTAAACGAAGACAAATAAACATGGTTTTGCAAAGTCAAGCTTTGCTCAGTCAAATTTCATGTTGTGACATTGATGTGCGTTACTGTTTATACATGTTTGGGGATATATTTATAAGAATATACAGCGTTCTGAGACACAAGAATTGAAGTTACTTTCACGCTTCAGAACTTCAGTCATGGGAAGTACACAACCAATGTTCAGGATGTCAGCTCTAATAGTGTCTGGTCCGCAGACCTGAGGCAGGTGCGTAGGGGCAGAGGAGCTCAGAGAGATAAGTTGGGGCTAGGCCATTTAAAGATTTGAAAACAAATAATAGGATCTTAAAAAGAACTCTAAAATGTACAGGGAGCCAGTGAACGGATAACAGAGTAGGAGTGATGTGCTTCCTCTTCCGATTGATGACTCCACAAAGTAAAGTGCATTACAGTAATCCAGCCGGGATGTGACGAGCGACCAGACCGGGTGTTCCCCTCCTCTTGCCCAAAAGTCACCTGAAAAGTGTCCCGCTCACCCGTATGGATAATTGCCATACAAAATGTACGGACGGCTTAAGAGTTCAGGGAGAACCTCCACCAAAACCTCCAAAGTGGTCTTCAAACAAGGTCATATGATGCGATGTTCGATTTGGCGAATGGGGAATCAATTAAACTAATCAACACAGCAATGTTGGAAAATATCTTTTTAAGTAGATATGCTGTGACGATCTACTTTTTCCTAAATAAAGTATACCTATATAAGCGAAAGGAAGAAATGAACAAACCTGGATTGCGTGTCACGTCTTGGGGCTTCTTGAAAAAAGCGTTCAGTTCCCCGTCTTGCTCTGCTTTCACCCTTTTTGCGCACATTTCACCAGGTCAAAACGCTTCACTCTCGCTTGATCTCCGCTGAGTACAGTACAACGTTGCTATCAAACGCGACTCTGTGTTAGCACACAGCAGGCTAAGCGTCCTAAGACGCTTCAACGTGCACCAAAACAAGATTATATAGGCTCGCAGACGTATTACTTTATTTCGTAGTACTACTACTGTGTCGACGCTTGAGTTCGTTCAATGCAAATTTAGGATTATTATTATATTATTTAATGAAGCACGTGTGGTTACATAAAACATACACGGAAGCGGAAGCAGATGTTTTACGGCAAAGCACTTGGACAAACATCTATTCAACGCCTTTCCATACGAAAATTCCCCAAGTCAGCTGAGATAACTTCCAACTTTCCGATGACTCTCAAAAGGATCGATCGTCAATAAATATGTGGTACACGCACACACACGCACGCGCGCACGCACGCACACACACACACACACACACACACACACACACACACACACACACACACACACACACACACACACACACGCTGCCGCAGAAGCACTGCATACCTGGCTCATTCATGTCAGAGCTGAACGAATCAACAGGTAGGACCATTAAACAGGATGTATTTACCGCCGCTGTGATACTGATACTGTACGCGCTTTTCTACGAAACAAAAACATGTAGCTTCTCCTCCCTGATAACAAAATCCACATATTACCAGTATTAATGTTAGAACACCAGTTTAAATTGTAACAGAACATGTGTTGATAGAATTCAATTTGTTACAAAAATATATCAATAATAGACTTAGTGATAAATTAATTACTACGATTTACATTTTATTCAGGATCACAAATGCTCTCATTTTTTTTTTCCATTTTACCATAATCATTCAAACACTCTAATCTTGTTAGACAGACAATGCTTGCAAGGTTTACTTTTTGCTGCTTCATTTGCTGCTTCTTCTCACCAGCCCACTTGTCTTTGTTCATCTGATACAAGAAAATTGTTCATGACACACACACACATTGCAACTAAATGATTTCTCATCATGTGTCTTCTACTGTGTCTTGTCAAATTGCGACTCACAGAGAAATTTTTCCCACACACCGAGCAGGAACAGTATCTCTTGCCAGTGTGTGTTCTCATGTGCAAAAGCATTCCTGAGTGATCACTCAAACCAAACTGAAGCTGCAGAGAGAGCAGGCATAAGGTTTCTCTCTGGTTGGGGTTCTTAAATGCACTATCTGAGTGAATCTTTGATGACAAATTAAGAAGGCAAAAGGTTTTATTTCCAGTGTGTGTTATCAAGTGTGTTTATGGTTTTTCCAATTGTCCCTTCTGAGTGAACTGCTTACTGCACACCGAAAAGAAAAGTCTCAGTGTGTGCTCTTGTGTATATGTTCAAATCTCCCTTATTAGTGAATCTTTTACAGCAATCTGAGCACCTGAAAGGTTTCTCCCCAGTATGATTTCTCAAGTGTACATTCAAAACCTACTTTTAACTGAATGTTTTCTCACACTACGAGCATTTCCAGCAATTTATGTCTGTGAAATGTCATATCACCTTTAGAGTGTTTATCATTTGTATCAGAAGAGTGTGACGTTATGTCAGCACTATCAGAAGGTGGAAACAAGAGGTTGTCTGCTTGGGACCCTGCACAGTAGTCTCCATTACCTTCTTCTTCTTCATCATCATCTTCACTCCTTACAATGACACCAATGAATGGAAACTTGCTGTTATCAGCCGCCTGCTTTTCCTCTTCAATTTTCGGGGGGCTTTGGCTCCTGCTGCTCCACAATGGAGTTCCAGTTCTGGTGCTCAGGTTGAAGGTCTTCTTCATCTACGTTGTGGAGGGGATTTGTCCATGTCCTTATGGCCCTCCTTGGACACAGGTTCTTTTATTTCTCTATAAGGTGGAATAAAGACCCAACACCATGCCATCTTTTCTGCAGTTTATCACAACACAATACGAATCGATTCGGGCTTCTGAAAGTTTCAGATTTCGTTAGGAAGCGCCGGAACAATCCAGTCACAAGTATATATAGAGACAATATGATAATGAGAGGCGGGCAGTTACGTCTTCATGCAAATCCCGGAAACAAAGAAATTAACATGCCATCTGACCCGGTATAGCTGGAAAAAGTTGGAAGTGGTGGAGTGAGACCAGATCACCACTACCCTCTATTGTCTTCGGTCTGAGCTTTGATGGGATGGCAGCAACACAGATACTTGAGATAACAGTCCCTCTTTTGATGTTAAACGTGACCTCTAGAGGGTTCCTAAAAATGGTAGAGGTGAAGGGGGCACTGAAGATGATTGCAATCACAGTAAGTAGGAAATACCTTCAACAGCATACTACATTCTTTCTTTCAAGTGTTTGAACAGATCCAGCAACAGAGAGGGGCTAGAAAATCACAGAAAGGAATAAATTCCTGAACATCTACACCAGGGGTCCCAACACACACACACACACACACACACACACACACGCTGCCGCAGAAGCACTGCATACCTGGCTCATTCATGTCAGAGCTGAACGAATCAACAGGTAGGACCATTAAACAGGATGTATTTACCGCCGCTGTGATACTGATACTGTACGCGCTTTTCTACGAAACAAAAACATGTAGCTTCTCCTCCCTGATAACAAAATCCACATATTACCAGTATTAATGTTAGAACACCAGTTTAAATTGTAACAGAACATGTGTTGATAGAATTCAATTTGTTACAAAAATATATCAATAATAGACTTAGTGATAAATTAATTACTACGATTTACATTTTATTCAGGATCACAAATGCTCTCATTTTTTTTTTCCATTTTACCATAATCATTCAAACACTCTAATCTTGTTAGACAGACAATGCTTGCAAGGTTTACTTTTTGCTGCTTCATTTGCTGCTTCTTCTCACCAGCCCACTTGTCTTTGTTCATCTGATACAAGAAAATTGTTCATGACACACACACACATTGCAACTAAATGATTTCTCATCATGTGTCTTCTACTGTGTCTTGTCAAATTGCGACTCACAGAGAAATTTTTCCCACACACCGAGCAGGAACAGTATCTCTTGCCAGTGTGTGTTCTCATGTGCAAAAGCATTCCTGAGTGATCACTCAAACCAAACTGAAGCTGCAGAGAGAGCAGGCATAAGGTTTCTCTCTGGTTGGGGTTCTTAAATGCACTATCTGAGTGAATCTTTGATGACAAATTAAGAAGGCAAAAGGTTTTATTTCCAGTGTGTGTTATCAAGTGTGTTTATGGTTTTTCCAATTGTCCCTTCTGAGTGAACTGCTTACTGCACACCGAAAAGAAAAGTCTCAGTGTGTGCTCTTGTGTATATGTTCAAATCTCCCTTATTAGTGAATCTTTTACAGCAATCTGAGCACCTGAAAGGTTTCTCCCCAGTATGATTTCTCAAGTGTACATTCAAAACCTACTTTTAACTGAATGTTTTCTCACACTACGAGCATTTCCAGCAATTTATGTCTGTGAAATGTCATATCACCTTTAGAGTGTTTATCATTTGTATCAGAAGAGTGTGACGTTATGTCAGCACTATCAGAAGGTGGAAACAAGAGGTTGTCTGCTTGGGACCCTGCACAGTAGTCTCCATTACCTTCTTCTTCTTCATCATCATCTTCACTCCTTACAATGACACCAATGAATGGAAACTTGCTGTTATCAGCCGCCTGCTTTTCCTCTTCAATTTTCGGGGGGCTTTGGCTCCTGCTGCTCCACAATGGAGTTCCAGTTCTGGTGCTCAGGTTGAAGGTCTTCTTCATCTACGTTGTGGAGGGGATTTGTCCATGTCCTTATGGCCCTCCTTGGACACAGGTTCTTTTATTTCTCTATAAGGTGGAATAAAGACCCAACACCATGCCATCTTTTCTGCAGTTTATCACAACACAATACGAATCGATTCGGGCTTCTGAAAGTTTCAGATTTCGTTAGGAAGCGCCGGAACAATCCAGTCACAAGTATATATAGAGACAATATGATAATGAGAGGCGGGCAGTTACGTCTTCATGCAAATCCCGGAAACAAAGAAATTAACATGCCATCTGACCCGGTATAGCTGGAAAAAGTTGGAAGTGGTGGAGTGAGACCAGATCACCACTACCCTCTATTGTCTTCGGTCTGAGCTTTGATGGGATGGCAGCAACACAGATACTTGAGATAACAGTCCCTCTTTTGATGTTAAACGTGACCTCTAGAGGGTTCCTAAAAATGGTAGAGGTGAAGGGGGCACTGAAGATGATTGCAATCACAGTAAGTAGGAAATACCTTCAACAGCATACTACATTCTTTCTTTCAAGTGTTTGAACAGATCCAGCAACAGAGAGGGGCTAGAAAATCACAGAAAGGAATAAATTCCTGAACATCTACACCAGGGGTCCCCAACCGCCGGTCCGCGGACCGGTACCGGTTCGCAGGGCATTTGGTGCCGGGCCGCACAGAAAGAAATTGCCTTAATTCCGTTTTATTTATTTCGGAATACGAAAGATGTTTTATTTTGAAAAATATACCCGATGCTCCGTTACATCTGTCTGTGTCACGCTTGACACATGTCAAGCCACGCTTCCCCGTCACGTGACCGATTATGCTAAAAACAAAACGCCGGAGCTCACAAAATGAGTAAAAAAACTGCTGGAGATCGCAGATGACAGCGGCCTTAAAAGTACGTTTGAGACTTAAGTCCAACTTTATTGTCAAATGCACTGTATGTGCAACATACACTTAGCTTGTAGCCAACGTGTGCACATTTTGAGCATGACGTCTCTGATCCACTCGTGAAAGGACACTTTGATTCTCTCTTCTTTCATCTCAAACTGCTTTAAACAACAAAGCGTGTGAGGGAAGAGTGGTTAGGATTGCACGACTGTCCATGTTTTATATTATGTGTTGTGTTTATTATTTTACTTTATGTTAACTGTTTTGTTAAGCGCTTTGTTACAGCTGCAGCTGTAGTGAAAGCGCTATATAAATCAGGATGTATTGTATTGTATTGTACATACAGCACAGATGAAATTTCTTCCCTCTCAACCAGACAACAAGACAACAAGAGGAGCCGCTGTGGGTGCCTGTGCCGCCATGAAAAGACCAGTTAACATAAAATGACAAAATAATACAACACAACACATAAGACACAGACAGTCGCACAATCTTAACCACTTTTCCTGCATACACTTTGTTGTTTGAAGCAGGTATAGATGAAAAAGGATCGAATCAAAGTGTCCTTTACACCAGTGGATCAAAGACATCATGCTGAAAATGTGCACACGTCTGCTACAAGCTCAGTCTAAAATCAACAAGACGCTGTCGTGTCCATTATCAAAAAGAGATTGGCATTGTTTAACCTCTTCAAATATTTCCTATATCGGTGAATGAGTCAAGAAACGTTGAGATAATATTTGTAAAAGTAATAGTAGTAGTTGTCGAAGAATCAGAACAATAGCTATCGCGTCCCCCCCCCCACATGATTAAGTTTGAACAAGTGGTCTTGCCGTATCACCTGTGGTAGCAGTTGAGCAGAGCCACCGCTAGCGCCAAACACAACTTTGAACTCACGTGGTCTGGTCTCGTAACTTCAACCTGAACTTTCAGATTCAGATTCAGATTCAGAAAACGGTCTTCGAATTATTGTCCTACAGGTTTAACTTCTAACGATGACTTCATTTCAAAATGCATGTCATTGTGTTGGTTGCCGGTTGTTCGTTCCTTGTGTCATTTAATCGAGGAAAAACATCCTAATTGCCTTAATTGTTGCGGAATAAGATCGTCACTGCTTGCCGGCGTTGCTTTTAGCTTGTTCGCAGCTAACAAACAAAGGCGGAATTTAAGCAGCATCTACAGAACTCAAGTGAGTGTAAAGAGTTGTTGCGTATCCTGTGAAAATGTGCAAAGTACAACAAATGTTGAGAGCGTTGCTGAATCAGCGACTGAGTGCCGCCGTCGAAGAAGTTGTTGGAGTGTTTGAAAGAACTATAGCAGAATACGAAGAGCAACTTTGTCGAACGAAGGAGGAAAACGAGCGACAACGTCAACTATTGGACGCCGTTTTCAAGACGCAAGGTGGACATAAAAGAGGTTTGTGCAAGTCTTTTAACAATGATGTCGAAAACAGTGCAATTTTCCAAACCGGGAAAGACCGAGGAGTATTTCGACAATGTGGGAGATTATGTAAAAAGAGCCAATTAAACCTCTGATAAGGACACTTTCGATTCATTTTGGAATGAAGCACTATCGGGACTTAGGCGGCTTTATTTGGCCATTGCACCGTTGAAGAAAACTGCGCCGCCTCAGGCAAGTTGGATGATGATTGAAATGTTACACGATAGATAGTCATACCTTGGTTAACAAACGACCCTACACACACACACACACACACACACACACACACACACACACACGCGCACACACAATATTCGTTTACAAACTAAACCGGTGACCACGTGTCTTGGCATCAACGTGGAACAGAGTTGTGCTTTCTCTTACACAGCATAATCAGCGTTACCTCTGTACGTCACGTGTTTAAACAAAGAGCGAAAACACGAGGTCTTTTATGTTTGCCTTTCTTATCTGGCCATACATTTTAGTGTGGCAAAATCTACAAGTCTTTACTAATCTTAAAAAGAAAGCAGTAAAAGTGAAACCCTGCAGTCAATGGGGAAAAAACAGCAAGTAATTGACAACACTCAAAACGTTTTGTAATTGCCTACAGTAAAGTTTAAGCTATAAAGAGAACCCAAACCGTGATCACAAAATATAGTTTCTTATTCACCTTATGATCATTACATTTCGGGAAAACAATGCATCCAAAGTGCATGTTGTGTACATACAGCGCCAACGCTCATTTAACTTCTTTCACCTATAGTTTAAACGTAGCTCCTCCGCAACATGCAAAGCTTCTCTCTCAGCTGAGATGTTTAGTTGTTAGTTTGTGGCAAGAAAAGATGAAAAAGTAGAACCACTTTTCTCTCAGGCAAGGCTTTGGTGCGCTTTTGAACAAGCATCATCACATGCACTACACGTGCTTTTCAGCCAATAGCAAATGTGTTAAGATTAATCAGGGAACATTCTTTTTCAACAAACCCATAAAAACAAGGTAAACATAACTTCGTTCTGGGGCTGAAAAGGTCATATTTCATTTAGTTTGAATATGAAAATGTACTACTCAGAATCTTGGAGCAATTTTTTTTAAGTTGAGGTTTATCTGTAAAATTGTACTATGTGGCTGGATGGATGCATGGCTTGAGGAGCCGACAATGAGAAGAAAGGAGTGTCAGCGCAGAGCGCCGATGCATACGTTGAACTGGGAGTCAGGGCTTGGAATTGAAGCAGATTACGTGGGACAGGAGATGTAAGCCAATCTCTTTTCGTCAATGGACGCTACAGCTTCGTGTTTGCTTTCAAAACACAGCTTGTAGCAGACGTGGGGACATTTTCAGCATGACGTCCCTGATCCGCTGGTGAAATGACACTTTGAACCTCTCCTCTTTCATCTATAACTGCTTCAAACAACAAAGTGTATGCAGGAAAAGTGGTTAGGACTGCACGACTGTCTGTGTCTTATGTGTTGTGTTATTTTGTTATTTTAACTTCAAGCTGGCACCACGAGAGTGGCTGCCTTTACAGCAGCTCCTATGTTTTGTTCTTCTACTTCTTCCTTTCATAACTTTGCTGCTGTGAATTGGGAATTTCTCCATTGTGAGACTAATAAAGGTTATCTTATCCTGCTATTTGCAGGTTATAGGGTATTGGCAAATAATTGACACACCTGCTAAAAAGGTGTATAATTACCTTATAGAATGATGCAACAAGATGGTCGCAAAGGACTATTTTATCTAGATGAAGCTCCTGAACGCTCTTCAAATTGTGTCCTCCTTGGCAGAGAGCAATGCAGTATTCAACACAGTACACAAGTTCAACAAATAATGCAAGCAAGTTTCCCACTAAAGTCTGGACATTTTGCAAATGCCAAACTGCAATAGGTGTAATGCGACTTGACTGAACAAAGCTTGACTTTTCTAAACCATGTATGCTCGTCCTCTTTTGTACTACAGATGTCAGTGAAGATGATCCTGTGAAGCAGGAGTGGCGCTCCGGAGTGGAGCAGCAGGATCTGGCGCACCCCCACATTAAAAAGGAAAAGGTGGAAGAGCAGGAGTGGCGCTCCGGGGTGGAGCAGCAGGATCCAGCGCGTCCTAACATTAAAGAGGAAGAGGTGGAAGAGCAGCTTCAAAGGCCGGAGTTGCTTGAGGATCACGTCATAAAGATTGAAAATTGTCAAAGTGAGGAGAACAGAGGGACGGAGCCTCCGAGCAGTAACTCAGGTCGGCATGTGACAACGCAAGGTGATGGCGATCACTGCGGAGGACCACAAGCAGACGGCCGCTTTGCTCCTCTATCTGTCAGCGATGGCATGACCTCACATTTGCCGGATATTGATAATAAACAGTGGAAAGTTGATGTGAGATGTCACACTGACGACAGATGCTGGAAATGCTCTCAGTGTGACAAAGTCTTCTTTAACCAGACCCATTTAAATAGGCACATGGGATGGCACACAGGAGAGAGACCGTTCATGTGCTCAGATTGCGGTCAAGCATTCTTCAAGGAACCACACTTGACAACGCACAGGAGGACGCACACTGGAGAGAAACCTTTTTCCTGCTCAGTCTGCAGTAAAAGCTTCAGCGTTCGTTTCGGTTTAACTCAACACATGAGGACACACAATCAGGAGAAACCCTTCAGGTGCTCAGTGTGCGATAAGAGATTCGCTTATCCAGTATCCTTGATGAGGCATGCCAGCACGCACACTGGAGAGAATACACACTCCTGCTCAGTCTGCCACGCAAGTTTTCGCCTTCGGTCGTCACTCATGATCCACATGAGGATACACACTGGAGAGAAGCTGTTTTCCTGCCCGGTATGCAAGAAAACTTTCTGTGCCGGTACATGCCTTTGACGTCTACGGTGTGATGTTTATAATCAAAGTTGACAGGAAAAAGTGGATACAGTGTTCCGCAACATATTTTAGATTCATTACCAGTGCTGCCACAAATTACTACTTTGCTACAGAAGCCAACTAGTCACGATAATAATTGCGATTACTGAACTAATTGAATCATATATGAATCGTATAAATTCACCCTTCTCAGGCATTCAGGCATCAATATTTTTTATGTATAAGGGAAATCAGAGGAGTGCAATTGGGAAAAGGCACTGTGCTCAAGAAAATTGCAATAAACACTTTTTTTTAAACCTTTGCTTATCCAAATAGTTTTGCTTTGCTTCACGTGTGTCTAATTTAGACGGATTTGATCTACAAAATCAAAATGAGGTCTGCACCTGAAATGGGGAGGAGGAATATTTGTTTTAGCATTCCAATGTGGTATACAGTGTTGTAATGAACTCTGGATTTTGTGTGCCACATCGAGTTCTGTTACTTTGAATGCTCCTGTTTCCAGGTTTTTGAATGCATCACCGTACGCCCTGGATATTCGTGTTTCTCTCAACACAAGTTTACCTATTCGTGATTTTTTTTTTTTTTTTTTTGTGGAATTTATCCCAAGCCGTTGGCCTAAAAATTCACAGATCAGTCGCTTGCGTGCAGCCCAGAGCAACGCATTGTTCCGGGAGTCTTGTACGGCGACTGGTAATGAATGGTATGCTCGCTCTTTGTCACAGACCGTAACCACAGTGCAGCGAGCATTTGTTATTCTGCATTAGCTGAAGTTCTCAAGGTTGGCAACATAACTTTATCTGCACGTTATTGCACATAACTTTGCGCTGTGGATTTACGTTAAGGTTTTTTGTGTGTCGCCACTTTCACCGCTGTATTTGTTTGGCTCATGCTGGTAACGCACTTCTCTTGTGACTAACAGCGACACCAAAACACATAAATGAATGGGACGTCGTATTGCTTTTTCAACTGGGGCTTTACTCCATCCCACTTCAGGAGCAAACAATTTGTTATTATTCGCTTATGTGAATAGCCAGCCATCTGAGTTTGCCCCAAGACGTTATGTTTCAGCTGACACAGGACTCGTCCGCTAACTAGCTTGTACTAGCTAGCAATCTTGCTCGTGAATTCAAAACATTAGCGGCTTGCAATTTAGGATTATTTAATGACATTTTAAAGTCAATATAAAACTCATGTCAGTATGATTTTAAAGGTACAGCGACTTACCACTCCCAAAGTGATCGCACCACACACGGGCCCAAACCACGAATTGGCAGGGAAGATCATAGTCAACTACACTTGGCTGTGTTTTGGACATTTCTTGGGTCTCTGGGCCCTGGTGTATATATTTTTTCAGAATCCACAAACATCAAATTCAATTTTTAAAAAACGTCAAAATACTGACCAAGACATGAAGACAGCATGAGTAGACACAGTTAATTGATCAACCTAAATTGCCCATAGATGTGATTGTGAGTGTGAAAAGTCAAGCTTTGGTCACTCAAGGCACATTTTATAATAAAGCTTCTAAATGTGATTGATAGATTGTAAAGGAGGACAAACAGAAATTCCAGCAGGATAGCTTAAACTTTTCATTCCCCCCCCCCCCCAAATGAATAAATCGTTACCCTTTTCAATAAAGAGAAATCCATTCCTTTTATGGAATGTAATTAAGACTGCAGAGTACAGTTTGAAGAACACCTTTAAATTCGCCCCCCCCACCGATTAAGTAATGTGTACTGTTTCTCTCCCCGTAGCTCACACCGTTCTCTCTACCCCCCGCAGTGCACAGCAGCTGCAGTCAGTCTTTTTTTAGTGGACGTTCACTTGTCTTGCTTTATAGGACAAACAGTTGTACTTTCGACTTTCTTAGGCTCACACTGAGGACTAATTTACAGCAAAAAAGTGTAGTCTGTGAATTTAAGCAACATTTTTTTTGAAAATTTTGATTGTAAACTAATCTGAGATTAAGCCGAGGTTCCGTTTTAATTTTCCACTTACGCTTGAGTAGTGGAAGGTCTGAATCAACACTCAAAGCTCAATACGTTCCTCCCATATATATATATATATATATATATATATATATAAAATCATTATTAAAAGAACTATTTACCCAAAAAAAAAAACAGTTCAAGGCATGCTGGGTACTCCTTCAAACTTTAAAAGTCTTACATATCAGTTTGCATTTTGGGCCTCATTAAAACTCAAAGAATAAAAAACTATCACAGATGTTTACATTTTTCCAATAATTAAACAGTGGAGACCATTCAATAAAGCTTCACAGGACTGCTTACGCCACCTACACATGGGCTCTTGGGAAGTCGAGATGAGATCGGTTCAATTTAAACCTCAGCAGTGACCTAGCACCGAGTCTTGGCTGGCTACTCTTGACTGCTAAACACATTGTAGTTTTGCGCCTAAATCAGCAATCTCTGGCTCCATGGCGGAGAATAAAATACACTTTTTACAAGTATCGTTGTTACGATGGGATTACGAGGCATAATCAAAAGAGGGCAAGATGGAGAAGCCATGCTCATTGCTCAGTAATCTAACGTTATCGTGAAAGACCGGAATGAAGTACTTGGGTGCCTGAGCACAATTTTCAAAGAAGTCTTGCTGGAACCGCGTTAAAGCGGAGTGTATCCATCTTTGAACCATAAAATACCAGTAGCAGGCAATTTAATAAGTTCTGAAGAGAAAATGAAACTAAGTAATGCTCCACGCATATCTTAACAGGTAATGAATGTTACGGCATCCCGTACGTCAGCCATCAGAGTAGCCTAGAAGATTAAAAGTATATTCATTTAGAGGATAAACGATTCAGAAAAATATATTGAATACACATAAAATTATTTGAATGTGATTTGTTTTCACGGTACAGTCCTGAGTTTAACTCTTGAAATTGACACAATATTCTCAAAATTAAAGTGAGAAAAAGGTAACATGTCATAGTGTGGTGTATATATTTTTTTTATGAGAAAAAATCAGCTCAACAATGTTTGAAGAACACTGCCATAGCAGATAGACACCCTATTAAAAAAAGGTCGTGAAACGTCTGTCTTCAATTCAGTGTGCAAATGCCACTAGTACATGAAACATCACACATACAGTACTTGTCGTTAAGAATTCTCACTAGCATGTTTTTTCATGTGCTGAACCAAACCTGAGCGAACTCTAAAGCCTGCTTGGCAGATTGAACAAGAATGAGGTTTTTCTCCTGTGTGCATTCTTGTGTGGGCGACAAAATTTCCCTTGAGGGAGAAGCTTTTTCTGCAGAATAAGCAAGAAAATGGTTTCTCCCCAGTGTGCGTTCTCATATGTCGCGCCAATGCTGAACTATCGTTAAAACTGGTGCTGCAGACCGAACAGGAAAAAGGTTTTTCTCCGGTGTGTGTTCTCGTATGTGTAATAAAATTTCCCTTTTGGGTGAAACCTTTACCACAAACAGAGCACATGAATTGTTTCTCACCAGTATGCGTTTTTTGGTGTTGAATCAGTGCTGAACCATCACTAAAACTTTTGTCGCAGGCGGCACAGGAAAACGGTTTCTCGCCAGTGTGCGTTCTCATATGTGTTCTTAAATTTCCCTTCTGAGAGAATTTTCTGCCACACATGGAGCATGCAAAGGGTTTCTCTCCGGTGTGTGTCATCATGTGTCGTTTCAAGATTTTCTTGTTACTAAAAGTTTTAGAACAGTGAGAGCATTTCAAGCATTTGTTGTCTGTGTGAAGTGTCAGATCACATTTCAAGTGTTCATCATCAGTGTTAGGCGAATCTGACATTTTGTCTTTGCGATCTGAGAGTGGTGCTAAGAGGCGGCTGTCTGCTTGGAATCCGACACAGTGGTCTTCATCACTTTCTTTTTCTTCATCATCATCATTATTATCATCATTATTTTTCACAATGACACGATTAAATGGCAGTTGGGTGATATCAGTCTCATCCTCCTCTTCTTTTACATGAGGAGACTGCTGCTGTTCAGGATGAAAATCTTCATCACTCACATCTGCAGGACACAAGAAAACAAACAGATGGATTAGAAAAGACAAACTTGGCTCACACGTCACATGATCCTTTGCATGATGTCACCAGAGAAGAGTAGCTACAGAGCCCCAGACATGACATGGGGATTTTTTTGATGTTGTTTTGTAGCCACAATAGAGAATATAATGCCCACATATAATACCAAAATGTGGCCACAGAATTTTAATTTAACATCATGAACAATTTGCGTGATATAATGCATTATGTCCTTAAACTTGCAGCTCTATTGGAAAAGCAACCTAGCTCTAAGTAGGCATTGTAATAATTATTCCTTGCAATGCTAGGCTTTTCAGAATGTCTTTGAGTATAATAATCAAAGTATATTGACATCATGTTTCAGATCTATTTCCATTATTTAACTTTTGTCCCTATCAAGATGACCCATCTGGGACGGAGGGCGGTGCCCACGCGCCCTTCACGGACGAGCTGCCACTGATCGATTCTCAGACTTAAAATATCAACGTGTGATTGTCGTCATTTCAGACACAGAATTGTAGCGCCTCAAAGGAAAGGGTTACGAGTATCTATTAGAAGACGCACAGGGACAACACAAAAATCACAGCGACCAGAAAAGAAAATTAATAATTAATAATGCGGCTGAGACTGCCTTTCTTTTACTTTTTGACCTTATTTTTAAAAGGCTTCCAACGTTTGAGCCAACATGTACATTGTAACATATCACGACCACAGTTCAGCAGCTTTAATAAAAATAAAGCCGTCCTCATGAACCGGTCAACTCTTATTAATATTGGTCCCACCCAAAGCTTCCAAAAAAGTGCTCGTAAACACTGTACATTACCTGCTCTGTGTACCTCAATTTGAGGGGTCTTACAAACAGCTTCCAGTAATTTACGCTGTCGCTTGCTTGCTCGACAAAGTTCATCTTCATACTTTTCTTTCACACTTTTTGCACACATTATCAAAAGGAGAAAAAAATCACAACACTTGACACTGTCACGAGATCTCTGCTTAGCAACCTGCTGCTAACAAACGTCTTTCTTTGTCCGCAGCCAGCAAGCTCAACCAAGCTAACTGGAGGCTCTACCGAGTGACCGAAAACGCGAGTATCGTGATACAAATAATTAATTCGATTAGCGTTCACAAGACAGAAATGTGAACTCAATCGAGAAAATACACGGGTGTCAACATAATAATCCGGAAGTTTGGGTTGGACCATTTTTACTTCCGGTGGCGAATGCCTCCCTGAACAGCGCCTGCTTCCAATTGTCCCACTTCAGAAAATAAAGAATGTGCCGACCTCGCTATTTTTGCAGCGTACGATTAAATACACAGTCTCTTTGTTCGACGTGTGATTACAAACAACACGGAGCCTCCCAACAAGCCACAGTGCGCACGCGTAGATCGGTGACCCAGTTTGGGAAAATATGTACGGGACGTCTCAGGAAACAAAATATATCACAGCAGTGATGTCTTAATCATCAACAATAAAAACAAAAGTAGGTAATTTGTTGACAATTAAACGCGGTGGCAAGATTATTCATACTTGTGCGAAAAGACTTTTGTAATTTAGGAAGAAGTAAAACAACTACAAAATACAGATCTGAAAAGTTAAAACTATTCATATCGTTTTGAATTTGAGTGTTTAGCCATGAGTTTGTTAATTAGAAAGCAGCTCGTCGTAAATTTAGCATGAGGGGATGCCACAATTTGATTAAGGATGTTGCCCCTTGAATCGTATTGACTCACACGTCGCTGATGATGTTGTGGTGCACTTGCCGGACCTCTGTTCGCGCAGCGTGGGGTCAGTTCCCACTCAGTGTACATGTGAGTGTAAATGGCCGTTTGTGTCTATATGTGCGACTGACTGGCGACAACATCAGAGTGTAGTCTGCCTCCCGCCTAAAGTCAGCTACGATTGGTTACAGCAGTTCCCCCTGAACCTGTTCATTGTTGAAAATAGATGTATCACATAGTAATATTATGATAGCAATAGAAATAAAGCACCCTTATCAATGTCACCACGGGAAAAATATAAAGTTAAATGTAATAATTAATACATTTCTCTTGATTGTTCCTTCGCACAACATTGTTCGACAAAATGTTATAATTTGTTGACATAAACCCACTGGGTCATATTGGCTCATGTTTTCACAAGTCAAATTGGCTACTGTGAAAAAGACTCATTAAAACAAAGGGTCGACTTTTACACAGGATTTTTTACTGTATATATGTATGTATGTATGTGTATATATATGTATACATACATACATATACACATATATACACACATATATATGGTGGCTGGATAGCTCAGTTGGTAAGGCATCGGTTTGGCGTACGGGAGAACGGGGGTCTTCTAGATCTTTTTTTTTTTTAAGAGGGTAAAATTTTCCCACATTTACTCATAATAGTAAAGGTTACTTTCTTATATATATATATATATATATATATAATCTAGTTGTATTCTTTTATTAATGTGTATTAGTGTTTGTACTGACAAGAAGAACATCAGTGGACACACTATCAAAACAACACAGTGCCACTGCTTTGCAAACATTGTGAAGTGACTAACGAAAAATGCGGCAGTGGCTAATACAAATTGCAGTTTGGTTACAACTGAACCACAATAAAAATTACCAAAAAAATATATGAAGTAGTCACATTTTATTTGGAGTTTTTGGGCAACATGAATTGATATGGCATGCTGGACCTTGGCATTTGTGCTTTAGAGCCAGCGTACTTCTGGTTAATGACCGTGATGTGGAAATGAAGTGAACAAACGTGAGTCAGCATGTGTAATGAATCACGTTGTGGAAAATTAAATGTCAAAGGAATAATCCATTCGCCGAATGATGTTTTATTCCGTAAGGGTTAGTTTGGGGGAAAGAAATTAATTGAGGACTATAAAGCTAAATCACACATATGTTAGGGCAAAACAAAAGAAATAAATAAATGCATACACTGGCTTCAATGTCGTGAAATGTTTACAAACAACACCCCTGGTACTTTTTAATCAAACATATTTTAGCTAAACATTCTCACGAGAGTGTTTTTTCATGTGGTGAATGAATGACGTATGGTAACTAAAACTTGTGCTACAGACTGAACATGAAAAAGGTTTTTCTCCACTGTGTGATCTCAGGTGTTCTCTCAAAGTCGCTTTTTGAGAGAATCTTTGACCACAAACTGAGCAGGTGAATGGTTTCTCCCCAGTGTGTGTTCTCATGTGTTGAACCAGACCTGAACGGACTCGAAAACTTGTGTTGCACACCGAGCAGGAAAAAGGCTTCTCTCCAGTGTGTGTTCTTGTGTGTGCGACAAAGTTTCCCTTTATGGAGAAGCTTTTCCCACAGAATAAGCAGGAAAATGGTTTCTCCCCAGTGTGCGTTCTCATGTGTCGCGCCAATGCTGAACTATCATTAAAACCGGTGCTGCAGACAGAGCAGGAATGCGGTTTTTCGCCAGTGTGTGTTCTCGTGTGTGTCGTCAGGCTTCCTTTCTGCGTGAAACCTTTACCGCAAAGCGAGCACATGAAAGGTTTCTCTCCTGTGTGACATCTCATGTGTCTTTCCAATGTTGACTTGTTGAGGAAAGTCTTATCACACTGTGAACATGTCAAGTGTTTGTTCTCAGCGGGACATGCCATATCACCTTGAGAGTGTTCATTGTCAGTGTCAAGAGAGTGAGACGATGTGTCATCACTATCTGTTAACGCAGCTACAAAGCTGTCCGCTTGGGATCCTCTCTTCTCACTTTGACTGTGATGAAGCTGGGAAGAATGAGGCTCGTCTTCATCATCCTCACTCTTCACAATGACGCGCATCACTGGAAACTTGCTGACATCGGCTTCCTCTTGTTCCTCTTTAACACGGGGGAGTGCTGGCTTCTCCGCTTCCACCTTCGAGTTCAACTTCGCAAACTGCTCATAATTGAGATCTTCTCTGACTTCTGCAGGACACAAGAAGGCAAACGCACATGGTTTGGTAAAGTCAAGCTTTGCTTTGTCAACCCACATTATTGTGGTGTAGCTTCCAATGTCGAAAACAACTCAAAATTAGGAGACCATACATGAATAATTGCTAAATAATAATGATAATTGAAAAACGAAAAAAATGAAGCCGTGTGTATGTATACAGTATATCATTCTCATGAGAGTTCACTTCCACCAACTAGCAAATGTCAAACTATTTGGAAATGTTGTAATTGATTTTAAAAAAAGCTACGTTACTCGACAAGTGAGAATTGCAGAAACCTGCTCTGTGCGTCACGAAAACAGCATCCGGCAGTTGAGATTGTTGCTCGTTTTCCTCTTTCGTTCGAGAAAGTTCCTCCTCGTACTCTATCGTTCTTTCACACATTTTACACACTCTAACCACAACACTTTAATTTCACACTCGATCTCTGCGGTGTGTTGCTTGCAATCTGTCGCTTTGATATTAACTAACAAGCTAAGCTAACGCGACAACTGCATATAGTGAAGACAAGTCCATTCTGAGCCGATATATTTAATTCATGATCACTCCGTCATACGACAGAAACGTGAACCAAAGAAATGTCGGATGCAGTACTTGAGAACAGGACGTACAATTTGACTGTTTACGACTCGCAAACTTCCGCATTTTACTTCTTCGTTGGTCTTGTAGGAAACTCGCACGCGTCGGTAGAGCGACTCTGCTCTCTACCGGATAAAAAGCAGAGGTGTGGATCTGATGATTAGGAGAAAGGTGTATCCAGGAGATTATCAGGCTAAAGGGCAGGGTTCAAATTGTTTGACAATGGTGTCGGTAGGAAGAGAAATGGAGTAGGGGTTATCTTTGACATCTATGATGCAAGGATGTAAAGTCTTCCTTTTTTTAATCAATGAAGAAAACCCAGCCCGATCTGTAGAGGAGGAGGTAGACTGTATATATTTCTCCAAGGGCTCCAGCTGTAGAAAACCAGTGGTTTTGTCAACATTTTAAATAACTTTGCTCATGTTTTTATTTGTTCCATATTAGATGTGTAGGGGACACCCACACCGACCATTTTAAACCATATTTCAACCTTGTACTGCTGTCCTGTAAATGTGAAAAATTGGACATCCGGGAAGATGTCTAAAAAAACCCCAAAACAACCCAAAAAAAAAAAACATCCTCATGAACTTCCATTCTATATCCACCAACAATTGTATTTATTTTTTTACAGTGGACCATGATGAAGAAAAGATGTTAGTTTCAAAGACGGCTTGTGTTCTATGGTGCAAGCTAACTTGGCTCATCAGCCAACAAGCAGATATTTAACTTTGCCATAGAAGTAAATTAAATGCATGAAAAGAGAATGAATTTTTAAAAAATCAAAATTCTAACCACTCACTTTAAGAAAAATCAATAATTTCATTTTCCCATGTTTATATCAAAAAATAGTATCTTCCAACTTCTACCGAAGTCATTTTCTGGCAAGTTACTTAAACATTGACTGAAGTGTTGCTTTCAGCTACATTATACATGACTGCCCTCAAAGGCCATTATAGGGTGAAAATGAAACGTAAAAGATTTCAGTCCGAGAATGTGCTATGTAACCTCCAGCCAATCAGAGCCCAAGAATGAAAATCAATCCAGAATGCTTTAATGTTCATTGTTTTAAAAACATGTTGACTTTAATTTTTTAAACTTTAATTAATTATATATATAATAAAAACAATTAAATATATATAATTTAATTAATTTAACATTTCACTCTATTTATAGGGGTTCAATACTGAACAGGTTTTCATGACAGAAAAAATTGATTTTTTTCACAATTAACTTTTTTTATTTTTGGGTCATTTTGAAGTGTGTGAAGGCATTGTGGTATGTACAAAAAGAACCAAAGTATTTAAAGTCCTGCAGCTTCATCGGTCCTACTACTACTCTTCTCACCAGCACACTTGTGTTTAGTAAGCTGGTAATTATATAAGAATCTTTCATGACAGACGCCACAAGCGAACATTTTCTCGCCTGTGTGAATTTTCATGTGTCGTGTGAGTTGTGTCTTTGCAGGGAACCTTTTAGCACAAACTGAGCAGGGAAAGGGTTTTTCTCCAGTGTGCACTTTCAAGTGGGTCACCAGTGTGGAGCGATGAGTAAAGTTTGTGTTGCACATGGAGCAAGTAAAAGGTTTCTCTCCGGTGTGTCTTCTTGAGTGCCTCATCATTGCTGAGCTATCACTAAATGTTTTGCTGCACACTGAGCAGCTGAATGGTTTTTCTCCGGTGTGCGTTCTTATGTGTTTCTTCAAACTGCCCTTCTGGGAGAATCTTCCGCCACAAATTGAGCAGATGAATGGTTTTTCTCCCGTGTGTGTTCTGGTATGCGTGATCAAATGCTCATTTCGAGAAAATCCTTTACCGCAAACCAAGCAAACAAAGGGTTTTTCTCTAGCGTGACATTGTGTGTCACTGTCAACTAAAGTTTTTCCACAATCAGAACATCTCACATGTCTCTTGTCTGTCAAATCACCTTTTGAGTGTTCATCATCATCAGTATCAGGAGAGTGTGATGGGTCATCACTATTTGACAGTGGCGTGAAGACGCTGTCTGCTTGGGATGCTCTGCTCTCACTTTGATTGTGATGAAGGTGTGAGGAGCGAGATTCGTCTTCATCACCCTCGCTCTTCACGATGACGCGACACACGGGCAGCTCCAGCTCTCCTCGCTCAACTCCCTCCTGACTGTTCCACACTTCCTCCCTTTCCTCTTTAACGCGGTGGGGATCTAGCTCTTTCTGTTCCACGCTGAAGGACCATTCCTGTTGCGCAGGGGCAACATCTTTATCACTGAAGCCTACAGGACACAAGAGGACAAACACACATGGTTGAAAAAAAAATCTAACTTCACAAATACTGTGTGTAGAACCTACAAATATAAATAATATGTGATACAGTAAACCAATGCTATTTGAAGCTTATAGGGACCAAGCTGTTCTGCCAATAGCATAAATCTCAGAGTAAGTAAGTTGGTTGTTCCGTGTTGGGGTCCGATTTGTGAACCGTCATTATAATGTTCAAGTAAACAATAACTGAAATTTTGCCATCATACTGCAGATTGCCCTTGATTCAATCGATTTATCTCTGCCTAACAGATCAATGAATGTCAAAGCGGTCCTTGCTTCCTTCGATTTTTCTTGTATGTGAACTTCGGAAGAAATTGTCTGGACACCCTTTGATCCACACAGATGGAGAAATAAAACGATGCTAAAATAGTGAGCTGAATACGTGAACAAACCGTATTTGTCTAACACAACTTGAGGGTTCTTGAGAACAGCGTCCAGGAGTTTACGTTGTCGCTCGTTTTCCTCTTTTGTCCGAGAAAGTTCCTCCTCGTACTCTGCAATCGTCCTTTCAAACACGACAAATATTTCCTCCACAGCTGCACTTAGTCGTTGATTCAGCAACGCTCTCAGCATTTCGACTTTACACATTTTCACACGATAAACTCGACCGTGTTGCAAAGATCGTAGCTAGCAAGCTAATCTAACTTGCACAGAGATTGCCACGAAGAAGGAGCGACGTTTTCATCTTTTATATGGCACAATTAGGAGCAAAGGCAACAATAAAGAGTATGGATTTAATGAGCTCAGAGACTCGGTGCCTTGTTTTCCTTTCCGTTCTCTCTCGTGTTTCCAGTTCCGCTCTGCAGAAGAGACATACAGTACTAAGTGCATTACTGCCGCCCGCAGGTGTGTAGGTGTCAATACATGCTTGACCTTAATTCTTTCAAAACTCATATTGCTGGATAAAGATTCATTCAATGTGAAGGGAAATAATTTTCAGAAGGTCAAGTCCTACCTAATTTCTATTTTAACATTTATTTTGGATTGTTTCTTAAGTATCAGTCCAATACATTGACAGTGAATTTGAGGGGTTTGAGGCTGTTGGTTCAATGAATAGCAAAATAAATAAAATTATGTAATAATCCACTTTGTGTGTTATCCATCCATCCATCCTTTATCCTCACAAGGGCGTGCTTGTCTTCGGGCAGCAGGGACACCCTGAACTGGTTGCTAGCCAATTGCAGGTCACACACAGACGAACAACCATCTGCACTCACACCTAGGGACAATTTAGAGTGTTCAATCAGCCTGCCATGCATGTTTTTGGAATGTGGGAGGAAGCCGGGGTACCTAGGGAAAACCCACGCAGGCACAGGGAGAACATGCAAACTCCACGCAGGAAGGCCAGAGCCAGGATCGAACCCACAACCTCTGCACTGGGAGGTTGACGTGCTAAGCACTAGACCACCGGGCCACCCTATGTGTGTTCGCCGCCATACTCTATCAGCGTTTTAATCTCGTATGTGTGTTTGTCCTGTTCAAGACAGGGCTGAGTATATCGTCTTTTTCTTTTGAACAGTTTTCACTCAAACGGCAGCGGAACTTGCAGAGTAAGTCAAAGCATCACCGTACTGTAAATAAATTTCACTTTTGGAATTGAACTGAAAGTTTTCCACAATATTGCAGTTTATTGAGATGCACTTACACTGTGTATGCCGTTGATTAAAAGACACAACAGACTGTTTTAAAAGTACCTCTGCAGCAGTATCCAGTGCATCATGGGCTTAAAAATGAGCGGCAAGGGCTTATCCAAAGACATGACGCAATCTCACATGATTTTCTTTTTCCACGTTTAAGCACCAACAGCTCATATTATATCATTTTATGAATGCTCGCATGATGAACATTTTTTTTTAAAACAGTATTTTGTGAGCTGTACAATAGGAGTGGCTTAGAACATAGGTGAACATGTTTAAAGCATTTAAGCCATTGAGTGGTGAAGACCTATGAAAAACATTGTGGAGATGAAAACGACACATAAAACAATGTAAGATAAAGCATAGTGTTGAGTGATACATGGTAGCAAACAGTAAATAAGTTTTCTTCTGAAATAAATTTAAAAATGAAAACATATGCTTTAAAAAAAACAAATTTTAATCATTCATATATAATGTCACAAACACTGAACTCTGTCATGCTTGTGCCTTCTTGTCACGTGCTTGAGCATCACTGAACGAACACTGAAGCGTGCGCCGCAGACCAGGCATGGAAACGGCTTCTCTCCGGTATGCGTTCTTGAGTGTATCTTCAAATACCCCTTTTGGGAGAAGGATTTTAAACAGACGGGGCAGCTAAAAACGTCATTCTGATTGTGTGTTCTTGTGTGTCTCAATAAATTTCCCTTTTGGGAGAAGTTTTCGCCACACACCAGGCATGAATAAGGCTTCTCTCCAGTGTGTGTCCTCATGTGATTATCCAACGCCGAGCGAACAGTAAAACCTGTGCCACAGACAGAGCAGGTATATGGTTTCTCACCTGTGTGTGACCTTGTGTGTCTAATTAAATGTCCCTTTCGAGAGAATCCTTTCCCGCAATACAAACAGCTGAAAGGTTTCTCGCCGGTGTGGCTAATCATGTGTTTTGTCAAAAGAGACTTGTAGACAAACGTTTTTTCACAATGAGAACATTTCCAGCACATGTTGTCAGTGTGACCTGTCATGTCCCCTTTTGAGTGTTCATCATCAGAGTCAGGAGAGTGTGATGTCGTGTTGTCACTAGCGGACACTGGAGTTAAGCGGTTGTCTGCTTGGGATCCACTACAGTGGTCTCCACAGCCTTCTTTTTCTTTGTCATCATCGTCGTCGTCGTCAGTCTTCACAGGAACACAAATCACTGGAATCCCCGTGACATCAGCCTCCTCTTCTTCCTCTTTAATGGAAACAGACTCTTCCTCTCTCGTTTTGGGGGGTTCTGGCTCTTCTTCACTGACACCTGCGAGACACAAGAACACAAACATCTTCGATGAGGAATTGAGCTGCCAGAATCTGTGACCAGTGGGAGTATGATTGCTATTATGATAGGAAGTAATGACGTACAAATTATTTGTTACTCTCTTTAAGTAGGGGGCAGATAGATGTACTTTACGTAAGTATTTGATGACGACTTTACTTCAATTTTCCAACCCTGTGAAACGTGGAAAAAAAGAAGTTGTCAAGATTAAGCTCTAGATTGGCTGATTGAAACCTTGGATACTCAGAAGGCAGCAAAAACTCGGACAGAAGCGACAAGGAGGACTTGAACCAGGGAGATTCGGAAAAGCAAGAAAATCAAATGGAAATACTGTACCTATAAATACAAACACACACGGAACCGACAGTGTATGTGTGTGTCAGCCACATATGAACTAAATCCAAATGATGTCAGGGAACAAACCTGCACTACGTTGTTCATCCTGAGGCTTGAAAACAGCGTCTAGCAGTTGACGTTGTCGCTCGTTCTCCTCTTTTGTCCGAGAAAGTTCCTCCTCATATCCTGCTATAGTTCTTTCAAAGACAACCAACACTTCTTCGACAGCTGCACTTAGGCGCTGATTCAGCAACACTCTCAGCATGTCGACTTTACACATTTTCACACGATGATCACAACACGTTACACTCACACTTAATCTCTGTTTAGAAATGTGTTGAAACGAACGCCTCACTAAGTTTGTTTGCAAGCTAGCCAGCTGAGACAGACAGGGAAGCTACAGAGACGAGTTTATCCGAATACTAATGATGTTTATTATTTTATAAGAAAGAAAAATCCACGCAGAGAATGAGGCAAAACGACGACTAAAGTTATTCGTTTAGGTTTCCTTGTATTCATCTCCGTTCGTCTCGCAGTCGCCTTTCAGCTAGCCATTGTCACGTGACTGGCGACGCGCGACGCAATTTACGTCTTTGCCGTGCGTAAGAAACGCAGCTTTGTTTAACGTGAATTTTAAAAAATGAGAGAAGCATTTTAACCTGTTAGACATTTGAATATATATCGGATTGTCTAAAACAACCACTCCTCTTTAATTACGAATCAATGGATAAATAAAATACAAAAAAAAAATCAGATAGAAAAGCATTTCAGATCGTTGCTTTATATGTCAATTGAAATGGAGCCATGAAATGAGCGAGATTGGAAAAACGACAACATTCTTCACAAAAAATGGTTATTATACTTATTATTATTATTATTGAGAGGCAACGCCGTGCATCACGGACATATAGTATATGAATAGACTCAATGAGCATGTCGCGGCTGAAGCCAGTGGGCAGCCATCTTACGTTGCCACAGTTTCGAACAACTTTTTTTTCTCTTAAAATATTGTTATAAGTGCGTGCTTTACGCTACAACTCTTTTGTGAAGAAATGAGAGCCTCTCAAAGACCAAATTTCACTGTTTGCATCAACTATTCAGAGAATATTACCTCGAGATCGTGAATCGTGAGAACCAGAAGTTAGGTTTACCTTTCGCTGTGATTCTTTCCTGATGGGCTTTGCTTTAATTTCATTGTTGATGGCTCTGACAACTTGATGCATACATATATTTAAGTTACACACAGAGATATACCGGTACTACATTATAAGAGAATTATTTAAATTGCATTCTTAGCGATGAAATGTATTTGTAGCGCTTCTAATTGGTACAACCATATGCCATACATGGTGGCATTGTTTGCCATAAAGACAGAAAACAACAAGATTACGGAGAAACCACTGTATTCAAGACTGCATGCAAACATAGTCACGATTGTCTCAATTTGGTGTAACATAACCTGTCTTTCAAGTAAATACATCTGTTCCTTGGCTCTGTATTTCGGGACCTGGACCAGAACCTTGCTCTCAATGCAGAGCACAGCTTAATGTGATAATTGTTCACTGATTATGTATGGATGTGTGTGAGATGTGTGTGTGTGTGTGTGTGTGTGTGTGTGTGTACACACACACACACACACACACACACACACATCACACACACACACACACACACACACACACACACACACACACACACACACACACACACGGAAAAGGTGAACAGCTTCATGGCCCTGCCTCTTTCATCATAGATGTTGAAGGTGGTGACGTTACAAAAGCTTTTCTGCGAGTGTGTCTTCTCATGTGTTGACCAAGTCCGGAATGACAACTAAAACTTGCATTGCATACTGAGCAGTGGTATGGTTTCTCCCCGGTGTGCGTTCGTGCATGTATATTCAAAGTTCCTTTAATTGAAAATCTTTTCCCGCACACTGAGCAGCTAAATGGTTTCTCTCCCGTGTGGATCCTTGTGTGTCGGACAAGAGAGTCCTTCAGGTTAAAACATTTGCCACAAATCATGCATGTGAAGGGTTTCTCTCCTGTGTGGACCCTCATGTGTCTGTTTAAATTTGACTTGTCATAAAATAGTTTGTCACACTGGGAACATTTCACATGTTTGTTGTCATTGTGACATACCAGATCACCTTTGGAATGTTCATCATCAGTGTAAGGAGAGTGTGACATCATGTCATCACAATCTGAAAGTGGCGCAAGGAGGCTTTCTACTTGTGATCCTTTGCCGTGGTCTCCATCACCTTTTGTAGACATGACTTGACTTGAACTGCTGCTCAGGTTCTCATCCTGTTTGTTCAGCTCACTTTGCCCTTTATCTTCATTATTTTCACTCTTCACAGTGATTTGAATCACTGCCGACTTAGTGATATCAGCCTCCTCCTCTTCTTCTTTAATGTGTAGGGGCTCTAGTTCCTTGATCACGTCAACGCCTTCTCCTGTTCCTGTATCTGCAAACGGCATCAAAGTGAATCAGAAAAAAAATGCATCACGAGTGACATATAAGAGATGATATTGAACAGAATTGTTTTTAGTTTGCTCTTTAAGGTTAGGTGGATGCTGATATACACTAATACGGACACAGCTCTGCCTTGACTCGAAAAAAAATGTGAGTACGTGATTTCTCCTTGAAAAATGTTTAGAAATGCCCATGTTAATAATTTAAACAGTAAATATACTGTCAACTATCATCCCCAAATTATACATTCAAATAATGAATTTGATGCCATTTATTCTCTTTGTTCTCATTCACATCCTCTTCCAACTGTAATTTTTTCAAATATTTCAGTCCAAGGTGGGTTTGAACTAATCGCCTGGCATGCGGCAGGCCTTGCGTTCTTGAAAAACAACAGCGCAAGGAACAAAGATAACACTAATACAATAATTTATCTTCATCCCTTGTATTACTGTTTAACTTCATTCCTTGTGTTGTTCATTGGACAGAACTTTGCATTTTATAATATTAATTAAATGTTTGGATGATTCATACTTTATTCATTGTAAAATATTGTAATTTTATTTTTACTCCACCCTCTGGCTCAATTGTTTTAAAATCATGACGTTTAGTTGTTAGTCAAATTTTGTACATGGAAAATAATTGTTAAATTGAATTGCTTTTTAAATTTTAAAATAAATTAACTTTTTTTGCCACAAGCCACAGAACAAAAATATAGAAATCTGGTACCATTGAGTACTGGTATCAATTCTCAGGCACCAAGAATTGGAACCGAACCAATTCAAATGTGAAAGGTACCCATCCCTAAAATCAGGTTGGCTTAAAGTGTTGTCAACTGTCGCCATGTTGTTCAAAGTATGTCCACTCGCTAACAGAATTTATTCAGAAGTTTCAACATACTCACACAGGAAAAAAAGCATGAAAATAACTTCCCTTGGGTCACCTATTTTTTAAATCCATCCATTCCAACACTTGTTGCCTAAATATAAGCCATACTAAACTATGATGATTTTACACCCAGGAATAGTGCCCAGCCACATATAGACAAACAAGCAGTCAAACATATATTCACATTTATGGCAATATTGATCTTCAATCAAGCTAATATCCATATTTTTGGAATGCGGCAGGAAGCCAGAGTACCCACAGAAAATCGTTGCAACTTTAAGGGAAAGAAAGGAGAACAACACAGGAAGGAAGAGATTTTAGCAAGGAACATTTCAACTGAAAGACCCACATGCCACTAGTACACCTGTTTTTGCTTTCAACCAGTGGCACCTTTAAATTTTATCAGCATCTACGAGTGGAACCACTTGGTGTTCCGGCCTTGTGTTTCCCAACTTTTAATGGGCCAAGGCGCATATTTCACATGAGAAAGATCTCAGTTCACCCCACCTGTCGTTTTTTTCTGTCGTATGGCTTCTCTGCGTCAATGAAAAAGTGCTTACCCTGATTTAGCTCTACGTTTTTAAATAAAGGTTGAGGAATTGAATTCTCACCATACATAAACATACCTTCCCGTTATGGCGAACAGTTTATTAGGCATGCGCAGTATCGCTTAGCTTCATTCTACCGAAGGCCCGAGGTGAGGCCTTCAGAGCATTAATATAAAGGTGGCTGTAATCAAAACAAAGGCACCGACCTTCTCTGTGCAATTCATCTTGAGTCTTCTTGAAAACGGTTTCCAGTAGTTGACGTTGTCGCTCGTTCTCCTCCTTTGTCCGAGAAAGTTCCTCCTCGTACTCTGCTATCGTTCTTTCAAACACTCCAAATATTTCTTCCACGGCCGCACTGAGTCGCTGACTCAGCAACGCTCTCAGCATTTCAACTTTACACATTTTCACAGAAACACACTTTATGTCTTCTGCGCAAAGTATGTCCCTTCCTTCCGCGTCTTCTTTGTTCGCAACTCGTTGCTAGCATGCTAAGCTAGCTCGAGATGCACGAATCCGACTCTAATTTTTAGGCACTAAGTATGAACGACGTTAACGTAGAAATGATATGGGAAGAGAATGATGCGAGAAAGAGAAGAATGTGCACATAAACTTGGGAATAGAGTCTCATTCGCTTCGCTTTCCTTTTTGCTCCGCCTATAGGCATAGTCATGACGTCATTGTTGCTTTCTCACAATACAAAGGTGGAGGGTTCGATTCCGGTCTCTGGCCTTCCTGTGTGGAGGTTTCATGTCCTCTCCTTGTCTGCATACTCCGGTTTCCTCCCACATTCCAAAATCATGCATGGCACGTTAATTGAAAACTCAGAATCGTCCCGAAGTGCGATGTGAGTGTGGATGGTAGTTTGTCTGTGTACCCTGCAATTAGCTGGCAACCAGTTGTTCAGGGTGGTCACAACTTTAATGATCATAGCAACAGGTACATGAATAGCAGAGCTCAATCAAGAATGTTCATGAACAAGAAATCAACATTTATTAAATACTTTGTCATGAATTCAACCGGGTCCCACATTTCAGACCTATGCCTTCAGTGGGGAATAAAGTAACCTCATCCCCTTCTTAACACCACCAGACTGTGGGCAGATCATAATGATTGCACACTACTGGAAGCTGGGCAGTCAAAGACACTCACTAGAGAATGGAGAAAATATACTGTTGTCAAGAAATGAACATATTTTCACCAAAGTTGTAAATGTAGGTCAGTGCCACTGATGGTATTGAGGCCATCAGAGAGAGCCTACCTGGTCCTGACTTCCCACCATTATAATTTATTCATGGTCACGTATCCGTTCGATCACACCCTCTCAAACTTCAACACAGTTTATCTAAGTTCTGCAGATTCATTTACTGCTGTATTTGTCAACAACACACTTGTGTTTCTTAACCTGATACTTTTGAGGGAATCTTTTATCACACACGCTGCAAGTGAATGGTTTCTCACCAGTGTGCATTCTTATGTGTCTTGTCAAAGCGCGTCTCTGAGAGAAACATTTACTACAAACCGAGCAGGAAAATGGTTTTTCTCCAGTGTGTTCTCTCATGTGTTTAGCCAAACTTGAACGTTCACTGAAACTTAAGGTGCAGACTGAGCAGCCAAAGGATTTCTCTCCCGTGTGTATTCTTGTGTGTCTGTTCAAATGTGCTTTGCGAGGAAACGCTTTCCCGCAAAAAGGGCAGGCAAAAGGTTTCTCCTCGGTGTGTGTTTTCATGTGATTTGTTAAATTAATCTTTTGACTTACTCGAAGACCACACACTGAGCAGGAAAAAGGTTTCTCTCCAGTGTGTGTTCTTGCATGTCTATTCAAGTGTGCCTTACTCGCAAATCTTTTACCACAATCCGAACAGCTGAAAGGTTTCTCGCCAGTGTGGAGCATCATGTGTCTTCTCAGATTTTTTTTCGCAGAGAAGGATTTGTCACACAGAGAGCATTCCCACTGTTTGTCATCAGTTTGACATGTCATATCAGCTTTTGAGTGTTCATCATCAGAGTCAGACATTTTGTTGTCACTGTCTGTTACAGGAGCTAAGAGGCTGTCTGCTTGTGATCCTGCACATTGGTCTCCATCACCTTCCTCTTCATCATCATCATCATCATCATCACCTTCAACCTTCACAATGACACAAGTGAATGGCAACTTGCTGACATCAGCCTCCTCCTCTTCCTCTTTAATGTGAGGGTGCTCTGGTTCAGGATGAAAATCTTCACTGACAACTGCAAGACACAAGAAGACAAACATGTGGTTTGGCAAAGTCACACACTGCTTAGGGAAGTCTAAATGTTGTGACTTTGATGTTGTGTCTTATTGTTTAGACAGACACCACCTAATTTATAGTACAATCATTCGGACATACGGACTGTCATCTTAGCTAAAATGTTTGTTTACAATACTTCAAGCCCTATTCTGTCAAATTCCTGCCGCGCCATCCCCACAACATCAGTTGGGGAACATACTGTAGATTAACTGCATATTTTTAAATTTTAGAGCTGCTAACAAAGGATTATTTTTTAAAAAGCAATTAATCTTTCAATTACTTATTTGATTAATTGATGCATCAGATGAAAAAAAACGTTATATTCAAATTTCCATCCATTTATTATAAAATAACAGGACATTATTTTGAATTCACACTGCAGAAAATGCACAAACATAACGTACATTATGATTCAGTTCATGGTTTGGTCTGTTGCATGTGCAGTGTTCAAGAAAGAGGAGAGGACGCTAGCTACACTGTACACAGGCTGGTCCTACAGTTGGCTGCAGGCTGCAAAGTACGATCTGCGGGTGATGTGTGATCGGCAATGATAGGCAGGCATCGATCGACATATGCCGATCATGTACTTTCCTACAGAAGTCGGCCAATCACGGTTGGTGGCCGACTGTAAATGTTTGTCAGTAATTATTATCAAAGACACAAAGTTAACAGTGGGGAATGGTTAATTTTGTCCTATACGTACGTCACTCTCGGGTGTCCTGTTGACTTAGTTCATAAATGTTGACTTTCGGTACAAGTGAACAAACCTACCTGCCCTGTGTGAGTCATCCTGAGGCTTGTTGAAACCAGCGTCAAGTAGTTGCCGTTGTGGCTTTTTCTCGTCTTTTGTTTCAGAAAGTTCCTTCCCGTATTCCTCTTTCACACTTTTTGCACACATTTTCAGACGACCATCACAATCAATTGATATTCACACTTGATTTCTGCATCTCAACGTGTCACGAACAAACGCGTCTTTTTGTGAGTGACTAGCAGGCTAAGCTAAGGTAACTGGAGAATTCGCTTTAACGTACACCAACGCGTGTTTATCCGGACACGAATATTTAATAAAGGCTGCAGTACTGATGGGACGTCATGTGTCGAGGCTTAAGTACGTTGAGTACAAATTCGGGAAAATTATTTCGTGAAGCGGATTTGGGTGATACACGGAAGTAAAACTGTAAAGGAAGCTATACGGCAACCCCACTTGGACAAATTAAACAGCAGCGTCCCATCAAATGAAGTCACTCTAAAAACAACAAACAAACAAAACAAAAAAAAAGACTCCGTTACCATCAGAGCGCTGATGGTCTATGCTATGAGGTCCTCTTGTGGCCGAAAAATCTTACCAAAATGACGGCTGCAGCAGAAATGCCTTGTGACGCGATGACCTAGTAAGGTCAATATAAGGATCGTAACAAAAATACTTTGCAATAAAGAATCAACTAAAACGGACTTTTTTTGTCAGGAACTCAGCCAAACGTAACAAAATGTGTCAACGTGGCGTGTTAAAAAATGAAAACTAACCACTCTGTTGAGCTTTTACAAAGTCCTTTATTATAATAGCATTTGTTCAATATGCCGGGTCCAAATTTTGGTATGGTTAATTATTATTTCTCAATTAATGTACTTTTCTTTGTACAAATAAACCAAGCATTCATTCAAACTCCTGCACATGGTGAGGATCATGTCATTTGCTGGTGTGGGTCGATTGACTGAACAAATCCACAGTCAACGCAGCTGTCTACCAAGAAATTTTAGAGCACTTAATGTTTACGTCTGCTGGCAAGCTTTTTGGAGACAGTTTTATTTTCCAGAAGGATTTGACACCTGCCCAAAGCCAACACTATCAATACATGTACCAATGGTCAAGAAATAACAGTACTTGATTGTCCAGCAAACTCTCCTGACTTGAAACCTGTTGAAAATGTTTGGGGTATTGTCAAGAGGAAGATGAAAGAACAGAAACCTTGATATGAAGACTATTCTGAATGCTAGTAAAGCAACTTGGATTCTGATAACACTGTCAAAGGCTGACCGCCTCCATGCCATGCCACCTCGATGCTGTCATTTATGCAAAAGGAGGACCAACAAAGTACTGACGGCATAGTACTTGAATATACTTGACAGAAGGCCAATATTTCTGTGTTTAAAATGCTTTCTTGTTTGTCACATGAAAAAAATTCTCATTGTGTCTTTCTGCCATAATCATCAAAATCGTAACAAATAAAGGCTTGAAATATTTCACTTTGTGTGTGGTGAACTAATACAACATACAAATTTCACTTTTTGAAATAAATTATTCAAACAAACTGACTTTCCTCGTGCTATTCAAAAATTTTTGGCACACCGAATTGGTGTAAAGTGGGCCTGACCAGTAAAGTTGGAACACAAAAAATATAACGAACAAAAAGGTGGTGTTTTCCTCCACTGTTATACTGCAAAGCAATCCTGAGCAAACTCGTTACATTTTGATCAACTATTCTTTCGCAAATAATAAAGAACAACATCAGACTTCTCCATTTTTTGATTGACTTGAATGAAGCAAACATGCATGTTTTGGGAATGTGGAAGGATTTCGGAAACAATACGGTCTCCAAACTGACAAATTCCGGACCAACTCTCATACTTATCTGCACACCGTTCACTTCCTGGTTCTCCACCAGTCATCTGCCTCTTGGGCATTTATTTCATAACATTTCTTAGTTATGAGTGGTGATGTTGTTCCAAAGTCTCTTCAAAGTCCCGCAACTTTATTTCCCTCCAGCACACCTGTGTTTTTTTAGCTTCTCCTTCTGAGAGAATAGCTTCTCACACACGCTGCAACTGAACACTTTTTCCCCAGTGTGAGTTCTCATGTGCCTAACCAATGTTGAGCGGTCAGAAAAACTTTTGTTGCATACGGAGCAGGCAAAAGGTCTCTCTCCAGTGTGTGTTCTCATGTGATTTGTTAAACTACTCTTTTGAGTTACTCTCAAACCACACACTGAGCAGACAAAAGGTTTCTCTCCAGTGTGTGTTCTCATGTGATTTGTTAAACTACTCTTTTGAGTTACTCTCAAACCACACACTGAGCAGACAAAAGGTTTCTCTCCAGTGTGTGTTCTCATGTGTGTTCTCATATTTGACCTGAACGAGAAGCATTGGCCACACACAGAACATGTAAACGGTTTCTCACCCGTGTGTGTTCTCTTGTGTTGAACCAGTGCTGAATGATCACGAAAACTCTTGTTGCAGACTAAACACAAAATGGGGTTTCTCTCCACTGTGTGTCCATGTGTGTGTTACCAACTTTACCTTTTGAGAGAATGTTGTATTGCAAAACGAGCAAGAAAAATGTTTCTCTTCTCTGTGCTTTCTCATGTCCGCTCAAGTGTACTTGGTACAAAAAGTTTTGTCGCACTCAAGACATCTTAAGTGGATATTTTCCGTGGGACATGTTATATCACCTTTAAAGTGCCTATCAGCAGTGCCATACTTTGTGTGACCACTATCGGATAATGAAGTTAAGCATCTGTTTGCTGTTAATGCTCCACAGTGGTTTCCATCACCTTCTGTTGTCATGCGTTGCCTTGAGCTGCTAATTGCTGTGATCTCTTCATTTTGACTGGAATGTAGCTGTGACTTCAAACCTTTGTCATCATCCCCCTCGGTCTTCAAAATGACACTTATCACAGGGAAGCCCTGAAGGTGATCTTCCTCCTGCCATCCCCGCCCATCCTCCTAGTTATCTTTCACCCGGGAGCTCTGCTCCGGCTGCTCAGGATGAAAATCTTCTTTGCTAACATCTGGAGGACACAAGATGACAACCACACGTTTTGCCATTTTTTTTGTCATATAAAAAAAAAATGAGACCAAGATAAATAAGTTAAAACTTTTCACACTATTAATACAACTATAACATGTAAAAATAAATTTGTAAAACATGTAAAAATCAATCAGTGTGGCAGATCTTGATGTGGCCAACTCCTCTTTGAAAATATGGTCCAAATCTACTAAATTACAAGGGCACCTTCTGCGCAGCCATCTTCACACACACACACAACACCTGAGCAAGATTGTATATTCAGACTTGTGACTTGCTTAATCCATTGACTTGACTCGCTTAACGTCCTTGACTTTTTTATACAGAACTTCGGACTTGACCGATAAAGTTTAAAGTTTGAGGTCTATTTATCGAATTGGATGCACTTATTGAATAAAACGTAATCCCATTTTTGCTTGTAAAACATATTTGTAAAACTGAAAGAAACATATTAGATTGAAAGTGCACAAATTTGGTATGTGTAACTCATTTTGAGACTCGAAAAAAGCGTCCAACAGTTGAGGTTGTCTTTTGTTTTCCTCTTTTGTTTGACAAAGTTCCATCTCATAATCTGCCATTGTTCTTGTGTTGTCGCATTACTGGTTTAAAAAAAATATTTAATCCAGTTTCCGTGTTAGAATGTTCTCATTTTTCATCTAATCTTGTTTTTTAAATATAATTTCTTTGACTTGGTAAAGCACTCCTTTTATATGTATGGGGGAATACACATAAATTTGCCTTGCCTTTCAGTTGCTCTCCCACCAGGCCACAATTAACCGGAATAATACAAAACACTGATGATACAGACAAGGAAATAACCTTTATTGTATAACACTGTTTGAAGCATATCCACGGGTAACAGCTGCAGTATCTCACACACACACACACACACACACACACACACACACACACACACACACACACACACACACACACACAA